TCTCCACGCGCGGTGGTTTCTGTGGTGCGTGCCGTGTTCGATTTGGCCACCGAACGGTCCGTGCCGGAGACCTCCTACTCCTGGTCACCAACACCGAGTTGCACCAGCACTTGCCGAGGCACCCCACGGCCAGGGAAGGGGATAGGTTTTGGCAGAGAAGGGTAGCGAGGTGATGGTTCTCAGTTTAATTACTTGTTGTTACTAACATTTGGATCTTTTGGTCTTCAGTCACCCAGTCATCCATGATATGATATAGGGAGTTCTATCAATCGAGACAGTGCAACTAAAAGAAAGAGTAGCTCACACTAGATTGAGTTCGCCTCGCAGCTTCAGGGGGAGCTTCCTGTTTCAGAGACAGGCAGACAGTCCCAAATGGGCAATGCACATGGCTGTTGGCTTTTGGATTGGGGTTTCATGGATTCGAGGCTGTTCGCCATCTTGCAGGTCAAGACACCACCCGAACTCCAAAGTTCCTGGCGCCCCCTTGCATGACCCCGTGCAAAGCCGCTGGAAGAAGGGAACTGACTCAAACCGGACTCAAACCCAGAGGTTAAGGTTCAAGTCAGGAAGTTCTCGGTGAACCGAGAGACCGACATTGGCAAGCAATCGGGCATCACCGAGTCCCAGGTGTATAACACCAGCAACCCATCGACGAGCGAGGAACTCAGCGGTGGCCCACCAGGATTCAAACCTATCCAAGGAAGTAGTGGCAAGGCAACTGGGCTACGCATGGCTATGACGGCGGTTGACTGGCTTTGATTACATAATATTATATACATTACCCCTTGAAGCTTGTTTGGCAGCTGGATTTGCCGGAACTGGGTGAGTCATTGGGTTTCCACATTCGTGATGCCCAAAGTTGTAGCGGAGGGTGTTTGATGTATAGGACAATATTTACCTTCACTGGCAAGTGTGAGTCCAAGATGCCATCCCCATCAAGCCAGAGAGTCTTGGACCACTGAGATTCAACAAAGCAAAAGTCAACAAGGTCTCATGTAAGCTTTTATGTTTTGATTGCATTTGTAGGTGTTTCGCTTTGAGTGCCCTCTCCCTTGCCCTTCCGCTGTGGCTGTTTCGGCTTTGGCAGATGCCCCTAGATGAGGCAGTTCATGTGGAGACAAGCTGCACAAACCTCATCAAGCCCGCTTCATGCGAACAAGCTCAATCGAACCAGCAGACACCCTACCCTACCCAGCCCTACCCAGCCACCTCACATGATGTTCTGGATGAGCGTCTTCAGAGGGACCACGTTTTCCAGCAAACAAGTCACAATGTTTGGCAAATGCTGCTAGCAGAACCTTAGGTAGCAGCAAAAGCAACCACATCCACTCTGAAGCCCAGGTTTCCGTGGCTGTGGTTGTGCTCATCAACATCCACTTCCATCTAGCACTTGGGGGGGTTCTTCTTGCCCTGAACACCCATTGGGTGGTACAGAACTTTTGCCGTGCACATGGGCAATCAGGAATGCTCTGTGAAAGAGGCGGGCTTCCGATGGTTTTAGCCCTCACCGGTGAGGGAGGGAAGGGCCAGAGTAACTGCGAGGGGCGGGCATTGTCCAAACAGCTACGACGTCCGTGCGCGGTTTCGCCGTGCGCGGCGATGGTTTCGTTCCTGTTCGCCGCACTCGTGAACCTGGGCTTTGCCGCTACACGCGTGGTCCCTGTTCTTAGCACTGCCCATCATCTCTCGAGGTGCCATGCTTCGAACGCACGCGGCCCATAAGCCCGGTGGAGGCACGGAGTGGAGACAGGAGGGGGATCGGTGGAGGTTGTGGTGACACATGAGATCTATCTGAGTCCCTTCTGTTGGGGCCTGAGCGGCCCAAACTGACGGAGCACTTTGCCGCCTTATAGCCTCCCTTCACCAAGTTGTTTGAACACTGGAACAGCACCTTTCGTTTCATTGCGTATGTATAAGGCATCACACCTTTTTTCTTCTACATCACTAAGCATCCTTTGCTCAGAAGGTGACACCTGGATCACACCCAACAAGCTACCTTTTATGACCCTCAGACCCACCATACTCCTTCCATTTGGAAGCCTTTTCGACGTTGCCCAGGCACCTGGAGCTCCGGAGGAGGAGCCGGCAGAGGTGCCAGCAGTGCCGTCGAAGAGCCTCGCCGTGGAGGAGGTGAGGAATCCCAGTCGCAGCCGGCGGAGCAGAGAGGCGCTGGGCGGTGCGCTGGAGCCGATGCAGGCCGGAGATGGGCAGTGGAGATGAGCAGTGACAGATGGAGTGGATGAGCAACTATGAAGCTGTTGTTTGTTTTGTTCCACCCGTGTTCCTCTTGAAGCTGGTGTACTGCCCTCATCAGCGTGGCACCTGCAAATTAAGACCGAGTTCCATGTTTTTTGGCATACCTGGACCGTGCGATGCAACTGGGGACCTGACACTTTCTGGTGGGACAGGCTTTTCACCTTTGCTGACTCGGACCCCGCCGCGAGGTCCACACCCTGGCGAGAGGAGCTTCCGAGAAGGGTGGAAGGGGCCTTGGGCCGGGGGCTTTGGAGGAACGTAACGGTTCCTGCTGGACCCTCCAGTATGCCTGAAACCATTTGCGTGACATGCAGTCCTTCTAGGAGCGCCTGATGTCATCGACTGGACGCGGCTGCCGGACACGTGCCCTGATGGAGGTGAAGGGTGACCGATGATGACCAATGTGGCCACCATATAATCTGACGCCCTGGAAGACACCCACATGCAACCTGAAAACGACTGGGTCGCAGAGGAAAATCGTCTTCGAAGGTCCATTTTCAGGTTCCATGTTAATCTTCTTCGGGTGTGGATCATGACTTCACGGGGTTGTTTGTTTGATACGACTGTCACCCCCCACCAATACAGAAGAATGGCCGCCAAAAGGGCAGTTTGCTGTAATTTCGAGATCCGCAACTTCTTAGACCAACACTTATTAGCCAAGCACCCTTCAATTGGTACTTGAGAATGGTGTGCCTTGGGGCATGGGTGGTGAGAGTAAAAAAGAGGTTGAAGGTCCTTCTGTTTCCATTGCCCGCTTCCGAACATTCTCACACGCAAGATCCTCTCAAGATTTGTCCCCTCAACAGTCCGAGCATGTCCGCCTTCCCCCCGGCCCGTGAGGTACTTTGACTGTGAGGTTGGCGAGTCCCCTGCTTTGGAGGACGCAGCTTCCGCCAGGAGTTGAATCATCACCCACCAAGGGAGAGGATAGTGAAGAGCTGCCCACTGTGCAGTTGAAACAGTAAAGGAGCCTTTTTGGTGAACGGCCTTTCTTACATTTCGTCGCCGGCAACTGAACAATGGCGCTCTGACCTGCTCCGACTTCTTCTACTTGCCAGCACCTTTAAAGGGTTTCACCCATGGAAGACTCACACTAGTGTACTTGTGGATCTCCATTGGACACCCCTTGGAAGGTCCAGGTGTACGATCGGTTGTGCCGGGGATGACCTGGGACACGCTCAGGACGACAGCGTAGCACAGCATTTCAGGCCTGGAACTGGGCAAGCGCTAGTAACACAAGCATGCGTGTGGAGAGGACATGTGTTTCGGGTGTCGTATCACAAAGATACAAGAGCGACTTCGACTTCGCTGAACTAGGGGCCATCTCCTCCATTGTTTTTCACCACGATGTTGATTGTTCATGTGATTCGTGTCAATCGCATGATTTGCATGATAGGGCTGTATGGGAGGAAGGCTAGTTGTTCAAGCGTGCCCCCGACCCATTCAGCTTGCGCACAAGCACAACGGTCAGGTATGAGTTCGAGTCCGGTGCCATCTACGACGGGGAGTGGCTGGAGGGCAACCGCCATGGCGTTGGGAAGCAGGCGAACGTGGATGGGAATTTAGATGAGCAAAGGGGGGACGTTAGCCGCAGGAGTGCCAGCTCAATAGATATATATATATATATTTACTTTGTGTTTCCAGGCGTGCAGGTGTGTGGGGGGGAAAAGCACGGAAGTGATCCAGACACCGCTTGCTTGACCATTTTTGTTCTGTTCCACTTCCGCCACTTGTTGGACAAACAACGAAGCATTCCACTCCCACTCGCTCCAACCTGACCATGAGCACTTCAAGCCCTCAAGAGTTTTTGTTCTTCATTGGCATTGGTGACATCCTTGTAGTATTGTAGTAAATACGGACTGGACGGGCTGCAGTGACAAACGTGCAAAACAGAAGTGCACACATTATTCCTTGGATTGCCACTTCCCATTTTCTACATCATGTAAACTATTCTAACCTGTCTAAGCCTCTTTGAACCTGCTTCAAATGTTGGATTGCTGTAGCCAGACGGGTTGGGATAAATCAAGGAAGCCTATAAGACCTAAGCCTAACAAGCCCCCCCCCGCCTAAGCGCCTCAAGAACATCATGTTGGTTCCTTCCCTTGACGGTGCTTGTCCAGATCTGGCCGGATGGCACGGAGTATTTGGGCCAATGGCGCATGGGCCGCGCGCATGGCTTGGGGCACATCAAGCACAGCGATGGCGACTCCTACAGCGGAGAATGGTTCAATGGGAGGGCCCATGGCCTGGGGATCTATCGCTTTCAGGTGGCCTTCGGCAGGTTTCTGCCAGTGACGGTGGTTTGTTCTGCTGTAGCTGAAATCGTAGCAGGGGGTGGGCACCGCACCTTTGGTTCGCTTGTAGGGTGGTGGTTGGCCCATGCTGCACATTGGGGGTCTTTCTGACCTTTTCTGACAATTGTTTTTGGAGCGTCCCGGGGTGAAGGTTTACCATTTCGAGTGATTTTATCAGACATCTTGGTAACAAAGAATTGTGAGTGTGACAAAGAAGGTGCCTTGGATGAACAAGTCTCAGAAGATCTCGGACATATTGTCTACATTTTCCGGTTTCGGCTCTTCTGGGGAGACATCTATCACCGATTTTGGAGAGAATCTGCCACCCACTTTGAGGACCACCCGCGAAATCGGAACGGACCTCGCAACCCGAACGGTGACGCGGCCGCGCGGTTCACCGCAGGACGGCGCCGCCTGCTACGAGGGCCAGTTCCGCTGCGACCACCGGGACGGCCTGGGAGTGGAGACCTGGACCGATGGCTCCTGTTCCCCGGTCTTACGCGCGGTGGTGGACCTGAGACGGAGACCGGGAGAGCGGAGTGGGAGGACCGGGAGGGGTTTTGCGGGTGGTGGTTGAAAGGCGATGGCGCAACATTGGAAGCATTTTTATTTTTTTTTTGGGGGGCTATATATAATTCTTGTTGGGGGTTAAGGGATAGAACAATCTGAGCTGCTAGGACCAGGGCTTCCTTTTTTGCGGTGCTTCGGTTTAACTATCCTAGTTGGAATAGGAGAATAGCATCGAATAGCTGCTGTACTTGTGCAATAAAGGAACATGGAACACTCAAGAAACCAGTTCGGCATCACTTATATATAGGTCATGTTTCTCCTACTCCACATGACTCCTCCGATGCATGCGGCCCGCGCCTCGTTGGCTTTTTGGCTCCCGGCATGGCGCCAGCCGTTCGGGTAGCCCGAACGGCCGACCGAACCGTTTCAATCGACGGATCGCAGATGGCCGGGATGCTTCGATGCTGGGTGCTGTTGCTTTCTTTGGCAGGCCGTTGTCAGGGGCGGACAGTACAGCCTCGGGAGGTGGTTTTGGTGATGCTGGAGACACGGTTGCTTTTTTTGTGGTGGTAGACTGGTAGACTTTTTTGTGGATTTCTCAGGGTTCGCAATTGGGTGCTGACATGTTTTGACCGAAGTCATCATCCTATATAATTACTGACTGCCAGCGATTCTGGCACACCACCCCACAGTGCCCTACCCCCCAACAGGAGCAACTCATGTTTTAAAGAAAGGAACGGTCGACTTCCTTTACCACTCCAACATCTGTCAGACTCCACTCCAACATCGGTCGGGATGAATCTCGGTGTCAGGCATCCATGCGGAGCCGGACCGGCGGGAGGAGTTGCACGTCCTTTGGAACAATCTGGCTCCACCGGCCCTGAACCTCTCCGACGCCAGCGCCATCCGAGAGTATTGCGACCAGATGCTCGTTTCTTTCGTGTTTCTGTACTTTGTTTTGGGGGGGTGGTGTTCTTTTTCCTGGCAGAACCATCAGGTAAAGAGCACCATGCGGAGTGTAGCTGACAGGTGACCCCTGAGGTGTTCTTTTGCGTGGTTGGCACGGAGTGGGGCTGTTTTATTGGGGGGATGACTGAGGAGATGTTGCATGTAGATAGATACCTCTTGGGTGCCACTTTTAATCTTTTCTTCAGTTATTTTCAGTTTTGGACGAGCTCAGGAAGCTAGACCACTTTGATGAGAAGGTGAAGAACACCTGGTGTCAACGCTTCTTGGTGAATGCCACCTACCACAAGGCGGCGGGGCTGAATTGTTCTGGCTGATTCTGGCCCAGTCTAACAGTCTATAGCCCACAGCCACAGCTTCTTATTTCCTCTCTAAACGATTCGCCAACTTGGCAGGCAGGATTGCTTGATGCTTCTTCTGTTCCCGGTGTTTCTCTTCTCCCCTTCTCCTCCCAAGCTCCGAACTCCCCGGCTAGGAGGGCGGTCCCGTCTTCATCTGCATCGATGGAGAGGATTATCCTTGGCTCAGTGGGGGGCGTCCCTACACCGTGGCCTGCAACAACATGGTCGAGCCGCTTGGGCTTGTTCATCAAGAAGATGGACATGGATGTCATGATCTTGCATGTGAGTTCAGGAACACATGCATTCATATACCATATATGACTGTGAGGTGTTTCTTGCCCATCCACTTGATTCCTGTGAATTGCCTCACTTACATTTAACGTTACTAGTGCTCTCCTCCACTGCCAGGCTGGCACCCAAATTCGACGCCATGATGATGGCCCTGGAGCATCGCTACTACGGCGGTGCTGCCTTCGATGGCGTGCAGAACCTTCGATGGCATGTTGGGACATCCGAAACGCCCGCCAGTCCTCTGCAAAGGTTCATGCTTGGGTGAATGGGGTGCTTGGTGGAACACTTGGCCATTGTCGAAGTGTAAGTCATTCGATGCGACTTCCAAAGGTTTAAAGTGTTCCTGGCCTCAATTTGTTGCCTCACTTCTCGCTCTTCCACCCAAAAAGCTTGGCCGCTTGTTCACTTGTTGCCCACTTTTCCACTTGAGGAATTTTAGCACGGCCAATCTCAAGTGGCATTCCAGCCGCCAGGCGCCAGGGGCCGGAGTGGGGTTCTCTAGGGAAGTCTGACGGGGCGCCGGGCCGCCGAGAAACGTGCGCGAGGTCGCGTCCCGGGAACGTCTCGATGTCTAACATAGACATATCCCTAGGGATCCAAGTACCTTCTCAGAAAGTACTTGGACCCTCCAAACCTACATAACAGTGTTTCCAATCACCTTCTGAGAAGGTACTTGGATCCCTAGGGTATAATTAGTGATGTGAAGAAACACCTCAGTGGGACGAAACACCTCACAGTGATCCGGTTTGAGCTCAAAGGCAGTGAGTAGCTTGGTGATGGCTCTACCTGCAGGATTCTCTTTATGCACTATTGCAATTTTGGAACGATTACATATGTTATACCATATAGGACGAATTGGCATATGTGCCGCCTTGTGGGGTGAATTGTTGGGAGGACTGAGGGGTGGGACATCGGTAGACGTTTGGGAGGATGGTTTTTGGGGGTGTAATGGTCCCGATTCCTGACACGCACCCCAGTTTCGTCCCCCAAAGAGGTCGTCAGTTCTTTTTTGAGAGGGCACAGGGCTTCTAATTACATGTCTTTGCGCGCGCTTTTGTTTGGTTTGGAACACTTGTTCCGGCCCTTCCAGAAGAACACGTGAATGCCCCAATTGGATTGTAAAAGAACACTTCTTCAAAAGTTTTTTTTGAACTCAGGAGTCTACATAAATGTGCTGCTACACGAAGGAGTGGGTTTTGTTTGCCAGGCTTTAGCTGACTTGGCCCAGTTTCACGATGCTTGGCTGCAGCGGTGCGAAGTGGATGAGGTGCGACTAAAAGGAGGGGGGTTCTTTGAGAAGATGCCAATGGAGGAGGATCTCCAGGGGACGTTTTGAAAGGTCCTTTGGTGGCGAAGTGCGGGTGAAGTTGGTGAATATTTGTGAACATGATTTGCTAAGACCCCTGAAGGGAGAGGAATTTGATCACTTCATGGGTTTTGGCATCCTGCCGCCATTAGTGCTCCTGCTCTTTTTCGGCTGTCCCATCTTCAAGTTTGAATCTGGCTGCTTCACCTGGACCCTGCCAACCAGTGGCACCTTTGGATCAAAGACATTCTGGGTCCCAAAGCAGCTCAAAGGCGCACAGCACATACCGCCCCCTCCCCCCACACACTGGAGGGGTCACGCTCCTTGGGGTCACGGTGCCAAGGACCACATGACCAAATCCTTGGGAAAGGTGCCCTGGGTGGTCTTTGGCGGCTCCTACCCGGGCTCGTTGTCCGCCTGGGCACGGAACCTGGGACGGTAAAGATCTGAGAAAGATCTTCGTGATGGATACGGTAGTCTGGTCCTTCTAGTAGTTAGATAGACCTCGTATTGGAAACCGTGCCAGGATCTATTTGGGGACCACTATACAATTATATACCGGCATCTATGCATCTATCTGGTAGACGTCAAACATGAAACCTGATAGTAAGATGGTGTTCTGCTGCAGGACTTTTGGGAGGACTGGCAGGTGGGTGCAAGAGCACAAACGGTGTCATACCACATCGAGTAGAGCTCGTGGATTGATCTATCAGGTTGGAGTTGGCATGTATCAGGTTAGAGTTGGTATGCGGGAACATTTGTCGGCCGGAGTGAGAAACCCAGACCAACATTTGCAGAAGCAACAGGAAGGATGCATGGATACACATGTACACGCCTATCCGGAACCTTCTCCCTGTATCATCCAAACCGGTGGCGTAAACCAACAAAAAGTGCACCATTCCATGGGGGGGGTTCGTCATGTTTCTCCTAGTGCCCTCTGATTTGCGGCTTCGGCGGCCGTGCCGCTGTGAAGCTCACAGCGCCACAGGAAGCTCTACCCCGGCAAGTTTGCTGCTTCGGTGGCCTCCTCCGCGCCCCTCTTGGCACAGGCCAAGGGAGTCGGGTCCGCGTGTGGCGAGCACGCAAAAGGAGATCAGATCTCTTCGGTCTTGGTTTTGGTCTATAGGGTGTTTTGGGTGTTGGGGTCTAATTATAGGTGTTTTGGGTCTTGGTTGGCATGTGGGCACACGTGGGCCACCATTGTTTTTGCTTCAGTCGTTGGGGCCAGGGCCACACCATCCGCGGAAACGGAGCCGCGAGTGAGGCGAACTTTGTGGGCTACAACGACGTGGTGGCCTCGGCGTTAACCGCGCCCAGCGTGGGTGGCACGCCTGAGTGGCCTTGGCAGCGGTGGTGTTGGGGTGGGAGTAGGGTGGAGAATGGTGGAGGATGGTGGCGTCATGGTCTATGCCTCGTTTGGTGGTTGTTCAGAAGCCTTGAAGCTTTTTGCACTCAGGAGTCTCAGAGTGACAATTCGCAGCAAGCTGTTGAAGTAGTGGGTTGTGCGTTTGCGGACCTTCTTTGATGGTGGCGGCAGTTTTTGCGCGGTTTTGACTCAGACAGATGAAGTTCAGGTAAGTGAAGTGGGATTTTTATAGATGCTCCTTCCCAGCCATGACTTGGACTGCTTAAGGCTCCCCTGACTCGCGTGGCACAACTTACAGACCAAAAACATCAACTTTCTTTGATCCAGGCTCTAACAGATCAGATCTGTAGGGTTTTTCACATGCCCTCGTCCTGGCACCACAAGCCGCTAGATAGGGGAATGGATTCCGTTTAGAGCTGAGGTGCCTGGCCACCTACAGCAAGGGCCACGCGGAGGCTGCCGAGATGATGAAGACGCCCATGGGGCGGCGCTCCTCGGGCTGAACCTATGGTGACGGTGAGAGGAAATAGGCTCTGATATAGCTTTTATCAAGGCTTAGGGGAATAAGTGTGATCGAGCACCTTCCTGCCCGAATTGGGTTCTTCCCCTCCCTGCACACAAACATGGAAGTGGACAACTTCCTGTTGGTAGAGGAGAATGGTCTTTCCAGCGGCCATGGTCCATTTCCATGATTGTTTGGAGAGAGGGTCATCTTGAGGGCCGCTGGATATTCTATCATGATCCAATTGGGCCCTCGATACGTTCCCCCTTGCAGTCGGGTGTACAAAATGGAAGCAATTCAGAGTTAACTTGATCCTCAAGACGCGGTGCACACGATGCGCGCGGAAGGGGAAGATACTATAGGAACTCCGTTCGAACGGATGACCTACGGATGACCTGATGAGTTGGATGCAGGTCACTGGAAACCAAGGGAGATGTTGAAGTGCTCGATGTATCACCAAGCCTACCAGACCACAAGATCCCAGAGGTCGGACCTCCTGAAGGACCGAACTGAAAGGCGGAACGAACCCAGAATCCTTTGGACCCTTAGGAAGGCCCCAGATGGCTGCTGGGGCCTTGTTGGGGGATCAGGTGGAGCTTGCATTTTTGCACCCAGGTGCCTTGGAGAAGATGTTCAACTTGTGTGGCTACAACCCCTTGGATAACAGCGACAATATCGCCTACTGGGCCGGTACTGATGGCATCGTTTCCACGGTGCCACAGTTGCCTGGCTTTTATGGAGGCCTTCCCTGGGGGGGAAAAAAGGGGACAGTCTTTTTCCCTTCTACTATATCGCTATAGGCTATAGACCATAGACTGCAATTATTCTTGTATTTTCTTGGAAAGGAGGAACGTTTAGGCACTACATCATGATACATCATGTCTATGTTTGTTTTTTATCCCTCAGGTGAGATGGGGATTACATTTTGGGGGGTCCATGCCACCACGTCTGTCTTTTTTTGGCCGTTTTGGAGCGTGAGCTTGGTGATTCTTAGGTACAACAAGGCCACCTGTGAGTATACCTACTGCAATGTGAAGCTCTTCTGCGGGAACTTGTCGATGATGAGCAAGAGCACGGCCAGTAACATTGATCTCCAGCTGCATCGGGGCGTTCACGGACATCACCCGGGTGCCGTCGCCGCATCGGACCACGCGCCATGTTCCCCCAGTGAATCCGATGTCTTCACAGCGGGTGGGGGAGGGGGAACATACCTTGCACCACACGAAAAGGGCTTGAAGTGAAGCAGGCGGGACCCTTTCCGGTGTGAACCTTCTCATTGGCCGATGAAGATGGAGACCTTGGAAGTCTCCACTTCGGTCTCCAGTCTCCACCTTCCCAGAACTCCACAGAAGGGGGGGCCCATGGCCTGGATGTGACCTGTCCATTGAGACGAACAAAACCCCTGGACACCGCGCCGCGCCGCTCCGCGAGTTTCCGCGACGCCTGAGGAAACCCTGCAGTTGATGTCGGAGTTTCAGCGAGCGGAATCCATCGCACGGGGGCGAAAGGTCCCCAACTGCACGGATGCCTCCTACAAGGAGAGGTTAGCAGTTTTGGGGCCAGGTGTTGACATCGGAGATGGTGAGGGAACATTTTCAAAAAAAGAATGGAGTGGATACTCGTCTGTTTCTTCATTCTGCTGGTGAGAAGGACAGTGTGTGAGATGTATTTTTGTTGTTTTTCATGGTCATGATGGTCATGTTGGCCATTGCAAAAAGGTGTCCTAATCACGAAGGTGGTGCCAAGGGCAGCAGAAGTCCGGACGGAGCCCCAAGCTGGTCAGAGGATTTCATCGTGGCTGGCTTAGGGGTAGCTGCATCATTGATCACCATGCTTACTACACCCGACAGGTCCCAAATAAGCAAGCATATGTCCAAAGACCCAGTACTACCCGGTCCTTAACCTCATTGAGGAAGCAGTTACGCATGACCAAGATCCAAGATCACCAAAACAAGCAAGCATATGCATACAGCAAGCATTTTTCATCCCCCCTCCCAACACCTCCTCTCTCCGCTCCCTCCGGCCCCCGCCTTTCCGGCCGGTCAGCGCCGTTTCCGCGCGCGCGGTCAGCCGCGCTGACGAGGCGTACGTGGAGAGCATGACGTTGGAAAAGAAGGTCCCCGGCACCGACCCCAAGGCGGGCGACCAGTTCGGGCGGCTCTGGACCTATCAGACCTGTACGGAGTTCGGCTGGTTGCTTGGGTTGCGCAGTGGTCGGGGAGAGACTGGTGGTGCAGAATCAGGGGCCGGGTGCAGAATCGCCAGAGAAAAGCAAGCATGAAGAGAAAACACGAGAAACCAGGAGATGCAAAGGGGCGAAATATGATGAAATGCAGGTGAAGGAGGAAAGTGGATTGCGGACGTCCGCGTTCCCATTCCTGGTCGAACTACCTAATAACATGATGCTTGGGTCCAGGCGTAAATCAGCCCGGATTCTTGCCTCTTCGGCCTCCCGTACGCCAAGGTACCAGACCTGCGAGGAGGGCACCAACTGCCCGTATACCAAGGGCTACAACACCATTCAGTGCCTTGGACGTCATTTGATCCACGCACCTGAGGAAGATGACCTGCCTGGTGACCATGACCTGCCTGGTGGATGGTGTTGGATGGTGTGGGGTGGAAAGGGTGAGGTGGCTTTTGAGCATGGGGAAATGCCCCTAGGCTTCTGGGTGAGAGTGAGGGTGGAATACAGAGTGAAGCTTTGTGACATGGCATCATGACAGTGGTTGAGATTTAGTGGAAAGATGGTCCAGCACTGGCAAATGAACAGTTTGACTTCAGCGCAGCTGGTGAACCGTCTAGTCCATACCTGCAGTGTTGATGGCACAGCACTTCCTGCACTACACCTGTGGACTCAGAAGGGTCTCTTGACGGATCGGACCTGGCTTGTGGCAGGCTCTAAGGTGGAATTCGTCAACCCCTCCCTGTGAGACATGTCAGCCACACTCCGAAAGGTGGGCGCTGGAGCTTTGCCAACTCCTGTTCGACATCGTTGCTTGGCTGATTTGGAGACGGTTCAGTGTATAGAGTCAGCGTCGCAACCTTGATCGAATTGAGGTGATCACTCGCAACATTGCAAAAAAAGACCAGTGACCATCACAGCTTTCTGAAGCAGTTGGAGTGAACCAGATTTTGGACACCTTTCACTACGTGAAACGGACTCGTCAGACATCCACATCTACATACCCCCCCGAAGAGAGCGGAGGGCTCATTGCTCCATACCAGGACCCACAAGGGGTGGTTCATGGAACCCCTTAACATCTAAGGGTCTATCAATAGAAGCCTCTTAGGGGAGTCCTGGTATTAGTTGTTTTTTGGTGTGTTTTCTTTTTTCACTTTCATGTGATGTGTTCCTCGAAGAGTCATCCTCTTCTCTTGGCTTTTGCTCTCCCTCATGGCTCGGCTCAGCTTGACATCCACCGACACCACCGTCGTCTCTGACGCGTCTCGGCTCGGCGCACGCGCCGTGCTCGGCCAGTCTCCGGCGCAAGTCTTGGCGAACATCGACGCCACGAACCGCTACTACGGAGGCTCCAACTTCCCGGACGCCACGAAGGTGCCTTGGATTTGCTTGGTCATGGGCACTTCTCGTGTGGGACGCGGTTCTTCACCCAGATCTCTGGGCCTTCAATCCCATCCCCTCCTGGGGTCCTAGGGCCTCTCAAGAACCACCAAACATCCACGGAACGGCCAGTCCGTTCGCGTCGTCCCCGTCTTCGGTCGCCGAGCCGAGCCGCAGACCGAGGTGGTCTTCCCCAATGGCGAAGTGGATCCCTGGCACTGGGAGTCCAACCTGGTGAGCCCCGAGCCCAACGTGGAAGCCTGGGAAATCGGTAGTTGACCGGGGGGGGAGGTCCGGTCCGGGTGGGTTGAGGGCTAAGGGAAAAGGGGGAGGAACAAGGGGGGGTCGGCCCCGTCAACGGAGCGTGGGACATCGAGTTCCTTTTTTTTTTCCTACCCTCCGGGCGTTCCTATAGAGGGTTTTTTCTTGGACCAGTTTAGGGCCCCAAATATGACGGCTTAAATCTATTTGGAAGAGGTGGGTGGAAACAAAGCACCTTACAAGCATAAGTTCTATACTGGCTTTTCTGCGCCGTTGTGTGGTCTGGAAGTGGTTCCTTTGCCCCTTTGCCTGGGCGGGACGGCCACCTTGGATTCGAGGTTTCTATCACCTTCAGACCTTGAAATGGCTCATGGCACACCCTGATAACACTGCAAAAGAATCATGGAAGTCGAAAGAGGTACCCTGGAAAGACCAGACTCCACAAGCTTGTCCACTTGCGTGTTTGTTGGAGGGGGATATCACCCTGATAAATGCTGGTGATGCATTGAAAGAGGAACAGCATCACGAAAACAACATCATCCTCTTCTACTCCAGTTGTCGAATGAGCAAATCTTTCGACACTTCCTGTCTGTATAACATCATAAGCGGCCGCAACAAAGGCTATAGAATACTCAGCTGATCTGCAGGATCTTCGCACCCTTGGGCTTTTGGAGGCTTTTGCTGGTTGAGACCCGAACCGCTTGGACCGATTGGACCGCTAAGCGGACCCGCGTCCCGCGTCGCCCAGGACACGATCTTCGTCAAGGGAGCCTCCCACTGTGAGTGGATGCACCCGGAGCCTTGGCTCGCAACGTGAGGAAGTGAGGCGGCAAGGCTCGGGACTGAGGCGGCAAGGCCTCCAACCTAAGGGCCATGGGCCTCCGACCCTAAGGGCGATGGGCCTCCGACCTAAGGGCGACGGGCTCGGGCTTCTTTGATTCACCTTGAAGTGAAGTGACTTCCAAAGTGACCGGGTAGAGAAGTCTTCGGCCTCCCGGCTTGGTCTTTCCCAGCTTGTCCCACACTGCCTTTCCTGTTGGGCTTTTGGCATGGGACCGTGGGTCAGCTGAGCCAGCCAAGAGCCCATTCTCCTGCTACACTACCACTCCAGCCCCCCACGCGTCATAGAGTGTGCCTGCAAGAAATGCTTGTCCTTAAAGTTTTGGTCAGCAAGCTGCCAGTTGGTGGAGAACCTCCCTAGGACCCAAGGAAGTACCTCTGAAAACCACCATCCACGTCTTCAGATGTTGCGAGCAGGAGATCCCGGCGGGGGGGGGAAGATGACCAGCTGCCCAGTGGGGTTCATCCTCAGGAGGTGCCGGGCATGCCGATGCAGCTCATCCTGGCCAAGGAGGCGATCCAACGACGGATCGCCGCATGGCTGCTGGAGTCCAAGGAGGTTGAACCGAAGAAGGAGGAGGAGGTGAAGGTGGAGAAGGCGGGATGAAGTAGTTGAAGTGGGGACTTTTTTAATTCTTTTGGATGTCAGTTTAGTTAAGTGGGGATGTCGAAAGTCCAACAAGGGGGGAGAATTCGAACAGCAAGCAGGGGGATGTCGAAAGTTTTTTTGTTTTCACCGGTTTGTTCTTCTTCCTTCGGAAGCCCCAGAGCCAGGCACCCAAACCCGAGCCGGTGGTGCAGCCGCGGCCCGAGAAGAGCGAGGAGCACTCGCACAAGCAACACTTGCAGCAGCAGCACGCGGAGCGGAAGAGGAAGATGAGCAAATTCTTGCTGCAAACGGAGTTCCTGGGCTCGTCTAAAGCATAGCAGGAATATAGCGCGAGTGGCGGACAGTCCATGCCACAGCCCGGTTCAGGGCAGGTCATGCGTCACATAGCAGGAATATAGCATCTATAGGAATATAGAATGACGATAGTCATGACGATAGTCATCACGAAGTCATGATGGTGTTCGGGTACGACCACGAGACAGTCCCGGACCCCTGACCCGCGATGCTACTCAAGGACGAATCCCCGGACCATTGCGCCAGAGAGCGAGTGGGTTGAAGAACCCGGCAAAGGACTTATATCCCATAATAGGTACCCCAGTATGGTCCCATCAAGTCACTGACCCCTGTTTCTGACAGTGGAACCCTCCTCCATATAGATGCCCAGGTCGGACGTGGTGTCCCACTTGCAGCTCCAAGAGCTCTGAAAATGCTGGAGGCTCTGCGGAGGTCTGCTCTACAGCGCGCGTGTGGACAAAAAGAGCGGACGAGGGAGGGAGCGGTTTGAGCCGGACTTGAGGCTTGGGCGCCTTTACAGTTGCATACAGTTACTAGTCCAATGTTGCATGGATTTCGGTTCGTGCAAATCTGGAGAGAAGTGGTAAACGTCAGACCATCCGAAAAGGCTGGACCATGGATCTCAGAACCACGAGATCACCTGAGCAGGAATGTAGCAAGAGCCAAGGGGGTCGAATTGGCAAGTCGTTGTTTCGCGTGGCAGGTGGACGGTTTGTTACCTTGCCCTCTTTCGAGTTTAACAACATTTAACAAAGCTTTGGAGGGAGAAACTCTGACAGCATGACGTGAAACATTGGTGTAACAGGATTCAATTGTGAAGGGGTTTTCGCTCTGGACACTTGAAGAAGAAGAAGAAGAAGAAGAAGAAGATAGAAGGACATAGAAGGACAACGTGTTTTTCTCCGGTGCAGATCAGCAAGAAGATCATGAAGCTCATCCTCGGTCTGGATCATGCAGAGAGTCACACAAACATGGCCCCCGCGGTGATGTAGGATCTTGATCGGAAAACACCCTCCCAGACATGCATTGAACAACCTCAATATATAGGGCCTATACCCAGGGAGGTTTTTAACATATCATCGAGAGATATCTTAAGAGAGCCTACATGAATGACACGGAAAAAAACGCATGCAACCTCTTCAAATCAGGTGCGCCTCCCTCCCCGAGTCCCTCGCCCGCCGTTGGTTCCCTCCAGAGTTTGTTCCCCATCTCAGGCTTCGCCGGTGGCTTCCAGCAGGGCCAGAAGAGTGGTGCCCTGGCGGACGATGCCCACGAGGGCGGCGGACGTGGTGCCCTGGGTTCTGCTCCGACGGACGGCGACAGAGACCGAAGGTTGGGAGGCCGGCATTTTCTCTTGGCGAGTAGCAGTAGCAGTAGCAGGAGCGGCAGGACGAGGAGGAGGAGGAGTAATAGTAGTAATTAGTCAGTATATGCGGTATGTGGGCCATACTATCGGCCATTTCGGTTTCTCTGTTGGCCTTGTTAGCTGGATGTGCGTGCCTGGAATTCCAGGTCCTTTCCGCACTCTCCTTTCTTTTGCCGTGCTCCCAAGTCGCTCACGTATGACCGCCGGTGACGCCGCATTTGGTGACGGCGGTGGTGGTTCCGGGGATGATTGCCACGCCGCATTTGGCTTAAGCTGAGCCCCTTCGGAGCCCTGCAGCCCTTCCTTCACCTCTCTACCTCTTCCGCGCGGTGGCACTTCGCGGTGAACGGCCATGGCAGTGGCAGACGGTGCAATGGCTGAGGCCATCCGCGTGTCAAACTTGGCCGGTGCGTTGCTGTTGCAGATGGAGCCGCCCAAGACGTTGGAAGAGGTGAGGCTTGAGGTGCGATGGCCGAACTCGTCGGACGTGGGCCAGTCCATGACAGCCAAGGAGCCAACGCCTAAGAAGGTGTCTCAAGAAGACTGACTGTAGTTTGACCATTTTATATCCTCCGTTTGTGTGGGATGACCTCGAAAATGAACAAAGACCCAACTCCCCATCGACTTCCATCCTAAGAGCCACTCGCGCATGCCACTCGCACTCAAATGGCAACTAGAATCATTTCCTCAATGGGATGTTGTTCTCATTTGTTCCCCCTTTGCTTCGAACAGATGGTGTCTTTGATTGTGCGGTTTGCATCTCCTAGCTGAGCGCCCTCCTGAGCGCCCTCCTTCTGAGCCCCCACCCGCTGCCGGGTCAACCCGTAAGGTGGAGCTGGCGAGTGGAATCCCGAGCAAACTGCAGAGTTTGGTGCAAGGAGGTGCCCTGAGTGGCCAAAGAGACGTTTTCCTTTTCTTTTTTTGCATTTGCTTCCATGTTTTTTTGTGCAAGGTTCCTTGTAAAGATCCTTTTGAACGATCCCATTTTGCAGACAGGTTTTATAGTTGATATGTTTGTTATATTGGTATTTTTCAGTGCTGCTGCTATGTTCTGCAGGGGGAGTCAGGGGATGTCAGGGGTATCGTATACAAAGGTTTGGCATCTCTTGGATGTTGCTTATCTTTCGGGGCCACCTCTGACAACCGTGCGTCACTGTGCTGTGCCCGACATCGCTTGAGCCACAAGACACCATTTGGATCCATATAGGCTAAAAGTGGTGTAAATAACACACACCTTGCGATTGTCCTGATTTTGTTTCATATGTATTTTCTACCATTTTCTTTCATTTTCGAGGTGAGATCTTGGATGGGGGCGAGCTCACCAGCGGCTGCGAGCTGTCGCTTGGTCGTTGTTTGTCGCTTGGGCCGGTGGGTTTGGTGGGTGGGGCAGAAAAAAGAACGATCACCAAGCGAGGCAAGTGGTGCGGCAGGAAAGCTCTGCTTGGGGTGAAACAAGATCTCTTTTAATTGGGTTTGTACTGTACTGTTGAGCCGCAGATGGCTCTTGAATTACCCCAAGAACCATTCCGCTACGCCCAGTGTTGCTCGAGTATGGGTCAAGTTGAAGGACATTTGACTGTTCATGGAAGCAATCTGGACTATATAATCCCATGGGAAAGGGAAAACGTACATGATTCTCTATGCAGCCTTTCAATTTTCTAAGGGTTCTCCGTTCTCCGTTTTTTTCTTCCCAGTTTTGTCTTTACTACTGCTTGAGATCCGAGGATATGCGTGACAGATGAGAGGCCCTTGTACACCTGGGATTGGAAGGGAAACCCCGACGCGGGACACCTGCAGATCGAGGGCAGTGTGCTGAAAGCACCGTCTCTACAGACGGACTATGCCACTGGGCGTAGGTGGCGATCGTGTCCTGGAAGAGGGGTTTTTGATCAAGACCGGATCATTTCCCCAAGCACTTGCTAGGTACGAATGGCCCCACGTGGAACTGGACATTGTTGCCGACCATGGTTGGAGGAGTCTATAACGATTCAGAATGATTCTACAGTATATAACTGCGGCTTCAAATTTTCCACATGAGACACTGTAGGAGGACGGTAATGACCATGGATGTTGTTCAGTCTTTTTTGAACCGAACACGTCCCACCAAAAACAACCTCACGCCACCCAAAAAGACATCACTCCAGTTCGTTGCATGAAGAAGAGATGTTGTCACTCTCCACCTCAAGAGTGTCCCTCTAGAGAGTTACACTCTTGTGGCACCTCGTTAACGAAACCTTTGGCCCGGAACTGGCACCCCCGAAGAGTTGGGGGGCACCCCTCTTCGAGTCGACTACTCCGCAGCTCGAGGTGAACGTGGTGACCCAGGAGCCCCTGCGCAGCGGCGTTCACTACTTCGAGTTCGTTTTGCACATGGTGGGGTCCGGTGTGGAGTTCGTTTCGGCGCTGGGTGGCGATGCCAGGGGTTTGCCATTTTGCTGCCCCTTCCCCCTTCGTGGCATGAACCAAGACACAAGAAGAACAGGATTGGGACTGCTGTTTGGACGGCTGTCTTGGTGCAAGTTGGAACTGGATGCCCAAAAACAGAGCAACCTCGGTCAATGGATCCGTTTTTCCCCTCCTTTTCTACCAGGACCTTTTCGAACAGGTAACCAATTCGACCTGTTGGGGCCCTTTCTAACCACCAAAGACCTTTTGGAGGGTACTGCAATATTTCTGGTGAACATGATTTTGACCATCGTAGACGTAGACGGTCGATTTTACAAAAAAGACTCAACCCATATATTATAAGAAGAGCTTTCACCATCCATGTTTGGGGAGGTTCTATTGCAGGTAAATCTCTGACTGATATTCCAGTCCCATCTGGAATTCGTGAGAGGTTGCAGGTTGCGGGCCCTTGATCCAAAGTGAAGATGATCCTTCAACCCGAAGTCTACTCAGATCTCGACGAATCTCTTCGTCAGGTGGGCGACGAGCAGTGGTGTGGCGTCACTCGCTCGCGCGGTGCGGCGGGCAAACACGTCTCGGTTCGCAGACGCGAAGCGGAGGCATGGACCTACTACTGTGGCTGGGCGCGAAACAGCAGGGCCAAAATGGGCCAAACACCTGGAACACGGGAAGGGTGGGGTGGGTGTCATGTTGGGGTGGGTTCTAGAACCCACCAATTGGCTCTGACTGAGAAACCATCCAATGTAGACTCTTGACCAATAAATCACGCCCCTTCGTTTGAATGGAAAAACCTCTTCATGTTTCTTATTCAAGAGTCTATTATAAAGCCTCCAGTTACCACTATAGCTGGTAACCAGTGGTTCCAAAGACTAAAACCATAGACCGACCCAATATTTGGTTCCTTATTAACGCCCCTTTTCGGGCCCCACAAGAGCCACGAGGCGGTCGACGCCGCAGCCGAGAGGGGACCATCCGCGATGGCAAGGGCGCCCTCCATGCGCATGGGAAAGCCATCAAGGACTGGGGGCGGTGCAGTGCGGTGTCGTAGTGTCGAAGGCGGGATGGCCCAAGCATGGGAACGTCGGTTCTGGGACCCAGTGCCCTAAGTCAAAGCTTGAAACTGAAGAGAAGACTAGAAAAGATGTAGGGTTTCAGAGGTTCTATGGCACACCATCCCAAAGATGTCTTTCAGATGGGGGTCTATATAAACCACCTAGCCTCGGGGATTGTGCCACCTACTTTGAAACCGCTGTAAATTTTATTGGAGGAAGGATTCTGAAGGAGATGGTACGTATGTCATCGTGTTTGATTTTCTTGAGATAGGCCTTGCTAAACCTGGTTTGATCCCCGTCGTGCTGTTCTACAGAGCGCCCAGATGCTCGGTGTTTGATGTGCATGAGTTTCAAGCTATACAACAGTTTGATGCACACCTTGTCCTATGCTTGAAGTGATGTTCGATGATTTGGCCCCGACCCAGAAAGCTGAGGCATCTCATTTGTGTCCTTGACACAGGACATCAAAACAGCACCTCTTTCAACAGCGTTGTGATGCAGGCTCATGGCATCTCATGGCTCATGGCAAAGGCTTCCCCCCAAACATGACACCAGTGGGTCCCTGCACCCCTGATTCTTGACCTACTGAGCCCGACTGAGCCCTTGGCTGTCATGTGTCATGTTGGATGCTCACAGCGCCGGCGCTGCAGGAATTTGAGAAAGCCTGCAGTGAGGGAGATGTGATCAACATGCTGGTGCATTTCTCGAGATTGGCAAGGCTTTCCTGTTTTACATTGTACCATCCCAACCACTTGACGTCGTGACAAACTTCCACCTTGTTCAATCCTAAAGAGCCCTCAGCAACCCGTGAGCCATCATCATCCGAACATATCCCATTCTTCTTGAAGGGTCCGTCACTGGTCAACACACCACTCCTATACTATGGCCAGTTCGTGCAGCTTGAGGGGGAGCTATGTGGGGAGCGAAGTGCCGTATAGATATAGGGTGTGTCAGTGTCATTGTATCCCATTGCCAGTACACACTAACCCTTACTAACCACCATCCACTGTTATTGGTAATGGGATGTGCCCTTATAGCAACTATGTGCCACCTTTGTGGTGGTGCTAAAGGAGGATCACTACTTCACTACTTCTTCAAGGACTCGCGAGCATCATGATTGGCCAGGCTGTTCTTGACACATGTTCCGTATATCGTACTGTTTGCCATCCGCTGGTGTTCAGAAACGTCCCCTGGTTTCCACTGCATGGAGTCCAGCCTTCGGTCTTCTGTGAAATCCACTGAGTCGGAGAGAACTTATCAGTGATCGATCGACAAGAACAGGAGCATCCACCCAGTGTCCGGTTCAACGACCCTACCCTCCCTCCATACATGAACGTGGAAGGCCTGGCACCTTGGAAGACAGTTTTCCTCTACTAAGAGGGGTTTCGACTTCACGATTGTTTTGCGGAGAGTCTTGTTTTGAAGGTGATTGTCCGCTGGTGCGAGGATGACCGTCCGCGGTTTTTGCAGCTCAGGTAGACATGGACAAGCGCATTGTGGCCTTTGCCAAGGACAGCCGGGTACAGGGAGCCTTCAAAGTACCTGGCACCGAGCCATTATACGTGGCTCAGTGCTGATGAAGCGGCCCGGGAGTGGAGTTTGGAGCATCGAGCGGATTTTCTGTTGATCTTGCAGAAGATCTGTCAGAGCTGAGTCATCAAGAGCCTACATTAGCTGCACAAGTATGAACCTGCGCCCTGTAAGGATCTGATCTATTTTTCGTGCTTAGCAAGGGGGACGTCCTTGCTGTTCGTGCAGCACAACGGTGCACAAACTTCCTCCAACATTGACTTCGAGGATCTTTCCTCCATATATTCCTCCTCCATTCCCGAATTACAGCATTGACCCTCATACGGTTCTTAACAATTAGGTGAATTCTGAATTCCTCGTCGGGTCATGACCGGATCGCATTCCAAACAACAAGAGGTCTCCTAAACAAGCTGCAATCGGTTGTCGCATATTTATCCACATCATCATCCGCATTCCGGTCACTCAGGCACATGGACCAGTACTTTACCTGCATATATCTGCTCTCCACGTCGTTTTCCATTTCCACTTATCTCCACATCCACATAGGCCCATATATCATATATATCTGCATGTCCCCTTAGGCTGGGCTCTCCACGTTTTTTCCATGTTTTTTTTTCCCATTTATATAGGGAATCACACTTGGATGGCACTCGCAAAAACACCTTTCCATCATTGTGTGCCAGAAGCGGGATGCCATCAAAGTGTGATTTCCCTACCAGGACCCTCCAAGGGGTGCCCAGTCTGGAAGCCTAGTAGTGTGGGGTAGTCCAGGCAGGACACCCCGACAGGAGGGTCCTGGTATACCTCGTTGTTGTTCCAAGGTCCTCACGCAGGTCGACACGATCGTGGACCACGTCGAGTTGCGCAAGCGCCCGTTGGAGGACGGACCGTTTGGGCACCGGACAGCGCTCGTGTGCTGTTCCCTGTGGAGGTTGGTGGTCGAACGGTGAAGATCGGTGAAGACCGGTTCCTGGTAGTACAGCTATCATGCATGCGTATTGACGTATTGCATGCGTATTGCATGGTGGGTTCATGTCGAGTTAACTGCCTTTTCTTCTTCCTCCCTCCTCCCTGTTGTGTTCGAGTTCGCTGGAAGCGTCCTCCGTCTCGGGTGGTGGATTCTGGCGGTTAAGCCGCGAGGGTCAAACTCCTTTGGGATTTTCTCGGAAGAGATTGGCCGAAGAGGATTCGTACCTGGTAGTTATACAGTAATATACAGCAGAGGTTTGATCAATGTAGGTTATAAGACGATGGCTTTACACTCCATGTTGGTTTTTTCCTCAAGTCTATCTACATCATCATGTTTGTTTCGATGTTTGTGACCAAACATGGAAGAGGTTCAGATTCCTGAACACCGGAGGATGAGTGCAGTTGAAGGAGTATATATCCTTTAAGTTATCCTTTAATCTCCTTCTCTAGAGCTTCCTATTGAAGTGCGACGTCCTCAGATGCGACGTTTGTGTTGTCCTTTAGATTTCTATTGAGCCCATCCATCCGGGAGAACAACCGCAGCCACTCCAACATCCATCTTTTGGGGGCGAAGAAGCCGCCTGTGGCGGGCAGGACTGTGCACGTGGTCTTTTGGAAGCCTTGGGCGGTGAACTGATGGACCTAGAGGAGGGTGACGAAGTAGGCTCCGAGGCCGAATTTTGGCCGGTGCCGTGGCCACTGCCAATGCCTGCTGCCAGATGAAGGATGGGGCATTCAGAAAGCTTCTACAGTGGTGCGCCATGGCGAAAAGCACCAAGAAGGTGAGGCCAGAGCAGGCCAGAGCAGCTGCCCAAGCTCACTGTAGGATTTCCTGGCGCAGAACTGAACCTCTTGAGCCTGTACAGACGACGGCTCTGCTGCGAATCCCCAAAGATGCGCTGAGGATCAACTTCATGCGTTGGGAAAAGAGGGCCCGGAGGTGCTGAGGCGACCTGGAGATACCTTCCCAAATGCCCGGACATGGATTTGCGTATGCTTTGGCTTCCTCATCCACAGATCGGATGTAGAGGCAACATGCAGCAGCATCACGTTACCCATGTGTTTGCGTGGTGTGGGTTTTTTATTCAATCCTTCCACACAGACGTCATGCGCAGCATGAGCCTCCCCAGGACCTTCTGTCAAAGAGTATGCTTCTGTGGTCTCCCCAAACCAACATAGCAATCAACAGATGGCTTTAGCGACACCACAATGACACCTCAGGACTTCTTCCCCCACCTTCAATGAATTCATCTATATCTCTACTATTCTCTACTTATAGTATCTTATAGTGGGAAGCCTTCTAGGACTTGCCTTATTTGGGGACACTTCGTCCTCTAGGATTTGGCCTCTTTTTCTCCGAGCCACCGCTCCCCACCCACATCATTAGCAACCCCCTCTGACCCAGACGGCTCCTGATCTCAAAGCTCCGAACCAACCCATCGAGCGAGCCTCCCACTGAGGGTATGGCTCCAACACGTGGCCGGACGGCACTGTGTATTTGGGCTCCTGGCGGCAAAACTGCCCCAACGGCCCGGGAGAGTACTCTCTCAACGGAGGCGCGGGGCAACGGAGACCGTCCACGGCAGAACGTGCCAAGGAGTCAGAGGGGGTCCAAAAACACCTTGGGGGCCCGAGTCAGCAGACGGGGACCATCACTACGCACCTCAACCCAAAGACAAAATATAGCAATTCTACATTCTACATGTAGGCCATAAATTTAATTTCAGAGCCACAGACTCAGCTGCTCGCAACATGCATATCGATTTTTTGGATTATTGAGGCATTGAGGTGTTTATTTGCTTTGTTGTTTGCATGTCATGTTTGTGAGAGGTCAGCCATGCCGAGTTCACGGCTTTTCCTTCCTTCCTTCCTTCCTTCCTTCCGTGTCCGGTCAACTCGACTCGACTCTGTCCGGAGTCGATCGCTGCAGGTACCAACTTCAAAGGCCAGTGGGAGAAGTCCGCGCCCCACGGCATGGGCAGATACCGGTGGCCCGATGGGAAGACGTCACTCGGCAGAAACCAGGTCGAGAAGGACACATGGGGAAGACCGGACACCGCATCCAGATCGCGGACGGCTTTTAGCTATTACATGTTTTTCAAAGCGATCTTCCTGTAGCACAAGTACATCAAAAGTACGTAACTGGAGTGATTGCTATACGGCGTTATGCTCTATGATTTCTTGCTGCCCGAGCATCCTTCGGGTTTTTGGTCGTTTCAGTCCTGTCAACCGACCAGCATCAAACCTTTGTTGGCACGAAATTGAATTCCTACTGCTGAAATCCCGTGGGCACCTGGCGAGCCCCAGCCAAAAGACTGGGAAACACAATTCTTGTTCCAGCCTCACCTGGCGCGGTGGGGATTCTTTGGGCTGTTGTATGATCTGCGTGTATTTTTGATCTTTTATGTTCAAGATCAGCATATCCTTTTTTGGTAAAGATTTGTGTTTCATGCGTTGTTGGACATTGTTGGCACCACCGAAGTCTACCCGAAGAATTGACACGCAGAAACTGTTCAAACGGACAGTTGGACCCACTCTTTGTTGACTAAGCTTCCCAGACACGCTACTGGATGACCCAATTGTGAAAGCACCGCTTTCTGGCACGCAAGACGAACCACCTCTCTCTCTCTCTCTCCCTTCAGCCGAGATCTCATGTTTGGCTTGCTATGCCCACCCCTGGCAATCCACACCCGACTGAAGAGCCGACATGAAGCGCTCTGTCCAAAGCGTCGGTGGCTGAGGTACTGTGGGAAGTACCGCTTCGACCAGAAGGACGGCTTCGGCATTCTCACTGAAGCTAATGGCACGGTGCATGAGGGGTTTTGGTCGAATGGCCAGCTTTTGGAGTGAGCGCCACTGGGACTTGCTCCGAAGGTGGTGGCATGAGTGCGTGATGGGTTTTGTGGAGGGAAGAAGTCAGGAGGAGAAGTTTCTTTTCAAGCAAGGCATTCACTACCTGGCTGCTGAATTTCCTCTACAACATTTTTCATGAGATGGTTTGACCATGTCCGCCCAACTCTTCCGTGGTTCCCATACGCGCCACAGCCATCGTGCATGCCATCGCGCACCCCAGCGCTGAGTTGGGTGCCCAGCAAGAAAACACCCATAACCAGACCACAAGGAACGGATGCAAAATACAATTTCAATCCAGAAAGGTTCTTTGGGGCAGTTGGTTTTGGCTCTCAGAGGGGAAGCCTATAAGTTACATATGCTAGCTCCTGGAGTAGCTCATTAATAATGGTGCAAATGTATCCATGTAGACCTTCAGCTACAAATCGATGGTGGAAACCCAGATTGTCGCAATTCGGATTGCGGAGTCTATTGAGTCTATTCGGAGTATTCGGAAGGCCCTGCCGACCCCACGAACCTTGGTGCCAAGTGTGCCAATAAGAGGCAGAAGAGCAGCCATGGGCCGACTAATCGATCGACGTGCTTCACGTGCTTCTCATGCTGGACACCGCAGCCGGCATGTCTCACTGTTTTCGCCTCCGGCAACCGGTTGGCTGTATCGGCCTCAGCCAGAGGGAAGGACACCGAAACATACCGAATGATGGTAAACATAGGCCATGTCTCCAGGAACTTGGGAGCTCATATAGTAAGTCATTCGGACCATATATCAACTCTTGAGTGTTACATCACTTGAGGGTTGAATCCTCCAGGCTAGGCTTGCGGCCTGGACAGCTCCTCCCACACTTGTCACCCGACCTCTGACTGACGGCGTCGCGCGCCGATGGGGTCGTTGTTTGCGCTCGTAAGCGCGCTGCCCATGCACTGCAAGAGCGGAGATGGGAGTCGAGAAGGATAGGGATGGCGCAGTTGAACAGTTAACCGCTCTTAGGTTGGAGGCCATCGCTTTTAGATCTCTTAGGGGGGGGGGCCATAGCTATTATATAGGTTGGAGGGCTGCTTGTGGTGGGGGCTTTCTCCAGCCGGGGTTCGGGTGCTTACAGATTGGCAGATGTTGGCAGCCATTCTTGAGGATGGCGCCTTTGGCCAACGCATGAAGGGTTCTGAAAGGAGGAGTTGCTTGGGAGATCATGAGCATCAGTTTGCGGTGGTTAGGTTAGGAGTTAGGACTTTGTTTTCTGAAGCTTTTGGTTGTTGACCTTGCTATGGAGGCCATTCTCGGCAGTGCAGGGCAGCGGCGGGCGGTGCACCAACAACGCAAAAAGGATTCCAAAAAGAGAAGCCGTGGCAGACCAGGGTCGTGTGCAGACGAACATCCATCCCACCATGGAGTCCATGGAGAAGATCCAACAAATCCAAAAGGGACACCTGAACATCCAGACGAATAGGTGCACATCGCCCCCAATCTCAAAAATCCCTTGAACTTCTCACGACATCCCTTTGCACAACTCGCCCGTCAAACGCTTCTTCCCATCCCTCCCGAGGCCAAGCTGAGTGAAGCTGAGGCCCAGCTGAGCCCTGTGGCCCGGCCCCAGCGCAGATTTCCGCGTGCCGCTGCGCGACCACTCCGCCGGCAGCGGCCAGGGTGGTTCGGTCGAGAGCGGCTCCACTGGGCGGACCGTGCTGCGCGGTCACGTGGGGTGTGACGTGAGGGGCGCGGTGGAAGGAGGAGGAGCAGGCGTCCAGCAGACGGAGGTCGTGGTGGAGAGCAGACGGAGATGGTGGTGGACGGCGGAAGCCGGTGAGGTCTGGAAACATTTCCAGCACAGATCCTCGGGATGTGGCTGGACTGCGTAGGTCTTTGATCCAGTCATTCCAAGGAGCGTAACGCTGAAAGCGAGGCCCCCTGGCATCCCCTGGCCGGAAGTCAGATGAAGACCATGTTGGGCCGCTGATGCTTTCAGGATGGCCGCCGGTGGAGGTGAAAAAGGGACGGCGGGCTGTTCTGGGTGACGGAGCTTGGGAAGTGGAACAAAAAGGAGGGTAGCGGCGGGGGTCTAAAGCCTGTTGGGGTCAATTTGTTTGGATGCTCGTTTAGGGTCCCTTTGTTTTGTTTAAGCCAGTCTGTACAACGGGAAGCAACGTGATGCCTAAGAAGGTACTGTGCACTTCTTGGAAGATTCTTGGAGGCTCGCTGTGCGAAGCCGGGCTCGCCACGCGAAGCCCTCGCCACCTGGCGCCTTCCAAGCTTTCCCAAGAGGCTGCTAAAGGTCTTTTCCTTCCCCATGTTCTCCATTGGTGTGTGGAAAGTTAGGCATGCATATTGCATGCATCACTGCATCATCATTCACATCATTCCTCAAGCAAAGGCACGGCAGGGCGGTTTTTGCGGCTGCTTCTTTGGGAGGCTCAAGGCCTTTTGTTGGACCGGCGCGACGGCCGTGCTTTTCACGGCCATGGAGCATCTGCCGCACTCGTTGGTTTGGCCCACGCCCTCGGAGCCCAAGCCATTCGCGACTCGGATGAGTGATGGATGAGGATGGGAGGTGGTCGAACACCATTGGGGAGGGACTTCCAGGTGAGCGCGCTTTGCCTTTGGAAGTCCAAAGACATGGCCTGGGCGGCCCGACTTGGACTCTAGAACCTCTAGGATTCTGAAAGCTCTACTTGGACATGATCAAGTCAGAAGGCATATTGGGCTTGAGCCTACTTTGGGTTCGTTGGTTCATGGACGTTCATGGTATGTGTTTGTGTAAGCCCTTTCAGGTGATGGGTCATGTTCGATGTAGATCAAGAAAAACAATTGCACCACAACAAACTCAACTAACTGTCTTTGGTCTTCAGAACCCTGGGAAATCCGTAAATTTAACTTGGACGCCTGGTTTGTTTGGACAGATGAGGGCGACGGGCGACTGCCAGGTCTCCATCCACCCCTTGGCGAAGGTTGAGCTCAGCCATTGGTTCGTAGGCGGGGCCGGTTGCCCGTGGGGCGCTGCGAGTCTTCGGGTGGCACGGCTGAGCTCAGCCATTCATCGCCGTTCATCGGTGCAGGCTGTATCCTCTACCCCGTGGCGGTGAGACTTTTGCAGGCGGAGCTGGATGGAAGATTTTTGGGGGGTTAAGGAGTGGATGTGCCATGATGTGCCCCTTTGGGATGACATGATGTGCCTGATGGGTTGAATGGCAGATAGTGCTCACGATAGGTTTTTTGTGGGGTGAAAGGCTTGAAGGCTCTTAGATAGGGTGCGGTTCAAGACACGGTCCTTTGCACTCTTTCTATAGAAGCAATGATGATTGACACATCAACCACATCATTCTGCCGGCAACAAGAAGCATTTGATGGATCCTCCATCAATCTCCCTGTCCTGATGGTGCTCCCCTTGATCCTTTTCAAGTCGCTCTCCTTCCGTTCGCGCACCGAGGCGGCATTTCTGCATGCCACCAAGGCGCGTGCTCAGGCGCGCGTCTCATTCTCCGCGCACTGATGGAGAAACGAGTCGCTCCGAGCCAACCACGTGCCATCTGATGAAGTGGGTAGTTTTGACTCGTTGCACGTCGTGTCATCATTGGAATAAGGATGAAAGAGGACATTCGAAACATCAACAGCGCGCCTATTCCACTTGCAGCACCTAGTTCACTTGATAGAAACTGCCCTCATCCCGCTCCTGCCCTCCATGGCCCCCAAACCTCCTCCCCGAAACCTCGGCCGAGCCGGTGTTTGCGCGCGCGCACCGCGAAAGCGGCAGGAGAAGGGCATCGAGCCGGTCAGGCACTTCAAGGCTGCGGCCTACTTCGTGCACGCGGTGACTTACGTGGAAGTGCTCTTCCTGGCGCGGCATCGATCGGCCGATGTTTTTTGGGCAGTGCCCGAGAACGGACTGTCGTGGGGCGATGGAGTTGGAGGGCGGGGGTAGGGCGTCGGGGATGTCAGAGTGGTTGGATGGAAATTTGGGATGTGGGACTGGAAGATCGGTGCAGGTGAAGTTGATTGAAGTTGTGTGAGTTTGGAGATGTGGTCATGGGTGAGGAGGGGAACAACTTTTGGTAATATAGCTAACGTGCAAAAGTTTATCTAAAATGATTCTCGAGCTTTCGTTCTCTTTATCCCTTGAGCTCCATGACGCTTGGAAGTGAACATGGCCGGAGGTCTGGCCCATGACCATCCACATCCTGTACTGCTTCTTCCAGCCTAAGGACATGCTGGTGGTCTTAATGCACTCAGACTGGAGGCTGCGGAGAGGGATGTTTTCGAACGTCTGCACAATTCTGCATTCCTCCCTTTTGATCATGAATCCACCTAGTTACAGCCCTCAACCTTCCAGAGTCTCAACCAATGGGTGACTTCATGATAAAACATGATTTAACACCTCTATCAGGAAAAGCTTCCCACCTTCGTCCATAGGAATCATCCCAGCCACATCGATGCGTCACCTCACCTAAATGCTGTTCATCCCTCGCCGGTCTCCGACCCCTCGCCGGTCTCCGACCGACCGCCGCCGCGCCGCCTCGAGGCTCTTCCGCTGGGCCTTGGCGGTGCTGTGCGCGTTGATGATCGTGGACCTGGTGCAGAGCCCGCTGAGGTTGCGCAGGACGTGAGTGCCGGTGGTGTGTTGGGCAGAGATGCAAATCCAGAAGACAAAAAAGGAACACCTGAGAACCTAGCAGAGGAGAGAAACAAGAGCGATGAAAGATGGAATGCTTGTAAACGTTCCATCTAGTGTTTAGATGTGTGTTTAGATATTGTTGTTGTCCCTATTTGTTTGGAGGGTTTCAAGCCGTTTTTCCTCACGGTGCTCGTCTCCTTGCGTGGCGTTTTGGACGGAGGACCTTGCATCATGTGGCCGTCCTGAAGCTCGGAGGATTTTTTTTGTCGGGCAGTTTGGTCGAGCCATGTGAGCCTTCACGAAGAACATCACGTTCAAGAAGAAGGAGCAATGCCCCAAGGGATTTGAAGAGCAATTGGCAAATCATTCCATCCTCCGCAAGCGGGTTTCCATGGGTTTCCTGTGTGCAAGAACTCATCCAGGGATTCATCCGACTGGATTGAACAGGCCGAATGAAGAGCTGGAAGCTAGAAGCAACTCCAAACTCATGAAAAGACACTTTTGAGCACATCTCAACATACTCAACTCAACCAGGATGCCTCTCACTGAAAAAGGAAGCTGGCCACACGAAATTCACCAGAAGACCTGAATCAACACAACTCCCCCGCTTCAAATCTGAAAAGGTCTCAACGAAGGATCCTGGACTCTCTGCCTCAAGCTGGTTGAAAAGGAACTGGACTCTCTTCTCACTTTCCTTATTTTCATTCACTCCCCCTTTTTGTCCCCTTCTCCTGGCTCCATCAAGATTCCATTCCGTGGAGAAAGCCGAGGATTGGCATTTGCCTCCTGAGTGGAATCCCTTGGATTAACCACTACGACTTGCCGCTCTTCGCCACGGCGCCGCTCTTGTACCTGAGCTTCCAGTCCCTGAATGCGGTGGCACCTCGGTGACTGCAGAGGTCGTGGAAAGCCTGGCAGGTGTTAACACAGAGAACGGCATATCCAGACTGTTTGGATTGATAAAAAAAACCCTCAGATATGGGATGGTAAAACCATGTAAAACCTTTTCCATGTGGCAGTTTCTTCTATAGTAAATCAAAGAGTCCACAGAATGTTTGGGCTTAACTTGGGGAGGGGCCGAGATTCCAAGAGATACGGCAGTTTGGTGGATCGGTGCGGCTTTTTGTAGATGTTTTCAATCAAAAGATGGATCATCTCTTTTTCTCTTTGCCTGATGTCGTTTTGCTTTGTTTTTGTGAGCTTCAACCGTTCTCTACACTGGTTGCAACTGGCCGCGCCGGTGGTTCGCCCCACCTCCTTTTTGGGGGCTTGCAGCTGGCCGCGACGGGCCGAGGCCTATTTCACCCTATGCCGTTTCCACATGCAGGGACGGTTTGTGGGCTCGTGCTGCCTGAAGTGGATGTCAGTGGCTTGCCGCGATCGATCCTACAGTCGTGGATCAGGTGTGAAAAACAACAATTAAAAACAACCTCCCTGGACCATCCTGTCGGGGTGCCCTGTCTGGAAGCCTAGTAGGGTAGTGTGGGGTAGTCCAGCCAGGACACCCCGACAGGATGGTCCTGGTTGGTTTGAGCGTTTTATGTTTTTTTTTTGTTTTTTTTTGGTTTTGGTACGTGCAGAGGGAGGCGACATGCAAGACCGTGTAGTGTGGAGCTTGAGGTCCCTGACTCCCTGCGTCTCCCAAACACCTCTGGTTGGTTCTTGGTGACCATCCATGACATGCATGAGCCAATTGCCGGGAAACCTCGTGGAGCACATCCATGCATCACCTGACCGGTGGTCCTCCGGAGCACGCTCTGAGGTGTATGTGGGGATCATATCCTCCTTGGGCCATCTGAGCATGATCTTCTTCTACATTGAGTTTGTGCCCTACTTTCAGGCCACGTGGGCTCCCTTCCTCTCCCCTTCAGGAGTTGAGGGGTAACCCCGGATCCTGCATTCCTCCAAGCACAGGTGTGCCCCCCCATTTTCGCCCAGCCCATCCCCAAAGTGCTGAATGCACATGAATCCCCCTTCCACCGAGAATGATGTTCTCCACATGAGTCCCCCTGGTCAGGCCTGCCCAGCCCATCCCCAAAGTGCTGCCTGCGCATGAACCCCCTTCCACCGAGATCCCCTGGTCAGGCCTGGGCGCCCATTTTGGTGCTGATCTTCTTTCAACTTTGCCTGGCGTTGGCCACTCGGTGCAAATGGATCCTTCGGCGCGGGTAGAGGTTGGGCCGAGACGGTGTCTATCGTGGTAGACCATGTGACGGCGGTCTATCAAGGGTCTTTTAGGGGCTTTTGGTTGATGATGATGTTTGCTCATCAAGCATTAACCTAAACCTGTGAAGACATGCAAGCCCTTTTGACATGTTCTTCCAGCTCCTGCCTTGCCACACTGCCAAAACCATTCCAGTCTCAGCAGTGTAAGACCTGGAACCTCAACAAAAACCTCACCCCAGATTTCGACCTCACCTAGTCCTCAGCCACTTACGTCCTCCGCCTCAGTCACCTCAGGAGAACGTCTATGAGGTCTTGCGCTTGCGGCAGTTGGCGCGTCCCGGCGGTCTCAGCTTGGCCTCGGCTCCCAGCTCGATGCACCTGCCCAGCTTGCTCAACACGGCCGACTTGGTCCGCAAGAGCTGCACCGTTTAGAGCGGCCCGTCTGGGCGGCGCGAGCGGAAAGAGGGCGCGGTGGTGGGGCTGGTGCAGTCCCGGGTGTGTGTGTAGATGCTGTAGATGGAGGGAAGAAGATGGGGAGGAGTGAGAGGTAGATGGACAGTGCAGGCCTGGGGCCGGGGGTCTCCTAATTAATCCTAATTAATTATCAACCTTCATAAGTTGCATCACAACAGGTCAGATGATTGGACGTTGGGCCACACCTCATCCCCAGCCATGCAATGCGAGAAGCTGTTTGCGGGCGAACCTCACGTCCACGCGAAGCGTGACGAGTGGCTATCATGGGTTGGGCAGAGAAGCGAGACCACAGGTGAAGCTCATGAAGGGCCATGAATGGAGAATACAATCCAGGTGTCACAAATTGAGGGGTGGTGTTGAATGTCCCATCCAGTGAGTGGATATCTGGGCACCCCGACTTCCTCTATGGATAGCACCCGGTCGAACGTGACTGCTGGATGAAATACAATGAATCCTTGATATCCATACTCTACAGTGTTTGAATGTCTACTCGGTTGAGAGGCGAACTTCATTTCTACATATTTCTTAGATGAATTGTGTTTAAACCGATGGCCCAACCCGGAAATGCCTAATTTGGAGCCTACATGATGAACAGCGCAAAAAATGTTTTGAGTGATGTACAGCGAACTCTTGCAAGTCGAACTACTCGTGAGGAGAAATGCCTGAAGTCCAAGGAGCTCTCAAACTCTCATAAGTCGCCATCCTTTCGCCTGTAGAATCAGTAGAGGCCATGGCTTAGTCTTGGAAAGCAGAACTTGCGATTTTGTGCCGAAACTTTGTTGTTTCCCTGGGCATGTTTAAAGGAGAGCTGAACTGGGAATTCAGGAATTCAAGGAGCCGGTGGCCATGCAGACTGCCATGCAGTTGTGAAGGCTGAACTAACGACCGCAACGACTCCGCAGCCTATTTTGATGCCACCCGGACGACGGCGACATAGACAGCGACAACGGCGACGACCGTCGCGACGGGCTCAAGAAGAGGGACGGTTTCGGTCAGACGCACCGAGACGCCCCCAATCGGGACAACTCCTTCCTTTTTGAAGCCCGCAGGTGCCGAAAGGAACGTTTGGGGGAGTGGTGGGAAGGTGCAAGGCTCGCCAGGGCCAAGTGGGAAGTTAATGTCCCAATAAAGAATCCTAAACTGAATCGTGAGTGTTGCAGGTGGTTAGTTGATGGCAGTTGTAGGACGAAACCAAATTTGAACAGTGCAGGACCTAATTCGAGTCTTGCCAAAGAACCAGAGGAACTCCAAAAGGTTCTGCTCACAAGAGGGCCTCCATGATCATGGTCTTTTCTCTTGGTTTTTCGGCTGCTGGAATAGAGGCCAGCTTCCGCGCAACTCTCCATGTACTAGATCCACGTGCAGGTAGATACAGCTAAGATGTTCTGAGAGTTCTGAGCGGCAGTGTCGTTCGCAGATGTTTCGCATAGTGTTTTGAACTGTCCTGCGCCGATGTTCGCGGATTCCCAGGCGTTGTGAGGGGGTCATATCATGCAAACATGTCTTGCAGCTTCCGCTGGGTAGCTCAAGCTGTAGGGCACCAATGTCCGCGAACAGATGTTGCTTAGCAGTTGTAGATGTCTCTCAGCGCACCCAACTATTGTTTTTCTTCTTTTTGTTGTGGGTGGGAGGCAGATCAGGCATTTCCAAGTAATTAGTGCCGATTATAAGCCGGTGTTGAACGAGGGTGCAGGGTGCAGCGACAAGAGGTTCAACAGCTTAGTTTAAGCACAAGAGCGCAGTGAAGCCTCCTTTGGCCATGGTGGCATGGCGCCAAACTGGATTCCACGGTCAGGACACCAAAGGGTGGGAACCACCAAGGGGTGGGCTGAAACTGGAGGAGTTGTTCTCATGCAGCTGTGTGCTGACGGATCCGCAGGTTCCGCCGTTTGGAAGATTTTTTCAGCAGGTTTTGGGGCCTCGGTGGTTAATGTTACATGGAGCATCATTTTGAGATCATGCTCCACAGGTGTCCTTCGCTCTGCGAAAGCAACTGTTGTGGAAACATGCCGAGACGAGCTGCTTCTTCTTTTCTTGCGGTGAACTTTGGAAGTTGAAACCCCACCCAAGATCTCATCTCTCTAAAAGAGCATATTGCTTTTCCAAATGACATTGCTCAATCTAAGCTTGGCCAAACATGGAAACCACTTCTAGACTAGGACGATTCCATTCGCATCATTTTGCTTTCCTTTGATAGCGGTCGTTCTAGTGCCGTTCCTTGGCTCTTACACTGGCAGTCTCCATTTTAAAGGGAAAGGCCATGGTGGACATGTCAAGGTTTGTTTGACGAATCGGATGGAGAGAGGTCTGGATTTGTCAAAGATGGCTCCACCCATGCTATCATGATTATCATGGGATGTTTGATTTGTCACAAAAGCGGCGTGTCTAGCTGACTGTCGAAGCGCTCCGGCTCAAGGACCGGAGCGGCCGTGCGGGGGGCTCAGGCGGCCGGTGTGGTGTCCGTTGTGGGAGACAGGTATGCAAGTACAGTATGCTGGTTCAATCGCCAGAACTATCCCAGAAATACATATTATATCGTCAAAATGAGAAGCTCCCGCTTTCAGCGGTTCTTGAGTACAGGGGCTAATCTGCTTGGCCAACAAGCGAGCAACGTCCGCACTCGATTGTGCGCAGCGTTTGTCGTGCTTAGGGTAAGCCTACGCCCACAGCGACAAGGAATGGTTCAGGTTGTACTTGCACAAGGCAATCAACATTCAAGAACTATATTACAAGACCCGTCATTGAACTACCCACCCAACCCCATTCCTGAAGTGTCCTGAGGCAAAAACAAAAACAACACACGCTGTTGGCTTTATATCGGCAAAAGCGGGGTGTACGCACCTTGACCTGATTTTTCGAAGCACGAAATCTTCAACAGACAATCCACAATGCATGTTTGGTTGAGATACTTGCGCGGAACCAATCATCTTGCAGTAGCTCTATCAGGTTTTTCGGAACGTACACTTGACTTTGGCAATAGCATGGCAACCCCTACTGAGGCCCTTGCTGCAAGTGTAGCCAAAGACCACCCGCTCGTCGCCGATCGGAAACGATGCCATGCAGCCGAGCCGCCCCCCGCTCCGCGCCCCGGTGCTACGCCACGCGCTGCCGCGGCCGAGCGTGGCGCGGAGGGCCAAGGCCGGGGAGGTGGAGTGGACTTTCCGGTGGAATGTGCAGTGGGTCAGCTGAGAATAGATAGGGCAAGACTCCTTTCTGTAGTGCGATCCCACATGTAATTAGAGAGGGCCGAAGCTTCACAGCCAGGTGGTTTGCATGGATGCCCCCATCTTCAGATACTGTACTGTAAATTTTGCAACTGGGTTTGCGCCATTAGCTTTTGAAGCTGCTAGAGCAGTGTTCACAAACTACCATTGATAGTCGTGAGGAGGAGATCGGCAAGACCTGAGTGATCGTTTTGGGGAAATTGGACATTTGCTCCCCGAATCGTCCAGAGTGCGCCAGTTCTCCTAAAGGTGAACCCCCTAACTATCACAAGACTTATACAACAGTGTATAACTTACGTAGGTTATAAGTTATAAGTATGGGCCGTGTAAGTATAGATGTGAGCTCAAATTCTGTTTTTCATTCTGTGAGACCTACGCCGCGACGCCGAGAGCTTGGGTTCAGAGATTAGGTGCTATTTAGCTTTGAAATTCTCCGAAATATTCGAGGGGTTTGCCCAGAACTTACCCTCCATGGCTAGCTTGCAGAGTGAGTTTGACTTGGCAAGAATGGTCGTGTGTGCACTTGTGACTGGCGGTTTTTTGATGAATTGTGAATTTCTGGTCATCCCGTTCGGACTCTGGTTCGACGGGTTCGTCTGCTCGTCTTTGGATTTTGATGTCGGCGTGATTGGATTCCAGCATCTGCTTTATGTTGGAATTCAAGCTACCGCATGGTGCTTTCTCCACCAATCGTTAGCAGCGGGCGTTGGGGTAGCCTTGGTGGGGGGGTTGATTCTTGCGGTCCTCACGCTTTCTGGACACTGTGATCTGATTTTATTCTTAGATCCAACCTATGAAAACGCTGGACATTGTTATGTTCCTTGTTATGCAGCCATCCTGGTTTTCGGGGCTGATTGGCTTATGATGACCTTTGGTTTGGAGCGCATGATGTGTGGGAAACTCCGTGATGTTTGGACCTACTTCTTTGTTGGAACCGTGCTTTATCGCCAGGCCTTCTTCCCTCTCATGATGTTCATGGATTCCACAATGGATGCATGGAAAAGAAACGAGCAGGTGTTAGTTCTCATCTTTGTGTCAATCCAGATCTGTGGTTGCCTTCGGTGGATCCTGTGCAGTGCTTGCAGGGTGGTCCATGATGACCTTCACGGTGTTCACCTTCACCATTTCGGATTCATACACATATTGTTCGATCGCTTCCTACGTTCTTCTCGGGGTGGGCTGGCTGGTGACCTTCTACATTCTGGCCATTTCCAGAAACATCAGAGCTGGACGAACGTCTTCGTTGGGCCTGCCAGTTGAGTTTGTTCATGGATGTGGGCGGGAAATTCTTTGTCTACTGCGTCAAGGTCATCGGGGCTGACAAGGGAACCTTCGAGTTGTGGAAGAAAATCCTCGTGATCATCGAAGTTACGACCACTGTCATTGAAGCCATGGTGAAGTATTCCCATGCTCGCAATGCCAGAGCCGGGGACATCTTGCCTCATGTGGCCCAGCAAGCTTTGACCAAGCCCTTGCTGGAAGACACGCAGGGAGGAGTTTGTCAGGCTGCCGAGGCCTGAGAAAGAAGGCCAGAAATTAGAGTCTAGAGGTCGAAGAATCTTCCGGAGTACAACTCCAAGTTTTGACCTGACCTCCCGCTCTCGTTGGGATCCAATTTGAGACGAATTCAGTCTTACTCAGTCTTACATACTGTAGCTAGTAGCTCCAAAAGCCAGCGACTTGGTGACTAGGCTCTGGGGTTCACAAGCGACTCCAGAGTGCACTCTTTTCAAGGACCGGAATGGAGTTCCGGAACCGACTCGATGAGTTGGTGGAAAATGGGTCAACTGCCATTCAAGTGGGTTGGTCTTACAGTGAGGGGAACGGCCTCCCAACAATGGAAGTTGAAATGGTTTCTGGGAAGACTTGATTTGTGCCTCTAATGGCAACCGGCAACTACAATGCTAAATGGACATGAGCTGTTGTTATCAGGCCTGCGTGGCTGGAAGCTCCAGAGACCTGCGAGAGCACCTGCTGTTGGCAGCTGCTTGTCGGCACAGAGCTGCAAGGAGACTCAGCCCGCGCCCCCTGCTTGTGCCGGGCAAACTCTTGAACATCCGGATTTTGCGATCCGTTTCTGATGTTTTGACGGGGGGCCCGTTGTTCGACTCGGACCATCATGGAAGAGAAGCCATGATGGTCACCCAAGCACAAAAGACATCAACAACAGGGAGACCATGGGAGACCAATTTTTCAATTGCGTTTTGCTTTGTTCCCTTAAAGGGAGATCTTTGGGAGGTCTCCCTTTTTATACCAGTTGCTTCCAGTGGCCAATTTACAGCCCCAAATAGATCTCCAGAGAGGTCACCCATTGGACTCGGACGTCTTCGGCTCATTGTGCTTTTCACTTTTCACCCACAGAGCCGTTTTTGCCACCGAGCCTGGTGGTCTAGCGCCGCACAGGCCGCCGGCTGTTGCTTGGGCCGTGGTGCCTTCAAGGAGCTCGCGGTACCCGGAGCGTTCGTGGTGCCCGACGCCGAACCCAAAGAGAAGCCAAAGCGTTTCGGGAGGCTTTCGGCGCGCAGCCACCTCGTTCCCAAGCATGGGCTGTGACATGGCTGTTGACCACACATGGCTCTCTCTACGGGTTTTCATGGCACCTGGCCCATGACCCATCGGCACAGGGCTGTGCACATCGGACCATCGGTTTGGACCCTCAGGACGCCTGGAAGTCCTTGGACGATCCCTCAAAGAGCTTCGAGGCTCTCTTCCCGGAGAGGCGCTGGGATCGGTGGCCGGACCCAGGGACTTCTTAGGGTGCCCTACCGCATGGAGGGGAGGTGGATCCAGGTGGTTTCGTGGCATGAGGATCACCATCCACCCCACCTTTGCCACCTCCTAAAGGCCAAATTGGCCTTGAAGATCCCATTTTGTCGACAGCACTGCTGCTTGTGCTGACGAAGATCCCATGGCGAAGGGCTTGAAAGGATGCAGACTGGATTAGTATCAAAGATGCAGTTTTGTTTGACACAGAACAACATCTTCCAGAGGCATCCCAAGTCCTGATCGGTTGGGTTGGTGAACGCCTCTTTCTTTTGAGTAGCTTGTAGCCGGTCAATCAAAAATCATCAAACATCTCTCGCATCTAAAACCCCTCCATCCATCCACCCATCCATTCCATATCCATATATCTATATCATATTCTATATCTCTATATCTCTACATCCACATATCCATCCCATCCATCCTTTTTGCTCCTCCAGGAGCCGCAGGGCCTCCGAGAGCCTTGCTCCGCAGCGCCCCGTCGCGCTCCTCGACTCCCAGCTCCGCAGCGCCCCGTCGCCCCAGGCGCTGCGGCGGGCGCTGCGCCAGGCCCAGGAGGCGCGCGGCGCCATGCGGGGTGGGACCGGAATGGCGGATGGGCCGGGCCGAGGTGGGAGTCGAATTGTTCTGTGAGCATTATCTCTGAGATCCTTTTTTTAGTATGTTAAATCTATGTTCTTCTCGAAGTACCAAGAGTGACACCAAACAGATAGAACGAACACTCATACTGATTGCTGTCCAAAAACCCAAACAACTTGTGCCCTTTACCACAGCACCCACCCAGCGGGTCCAGCCTTCAACCAGCGCCACCGGCAGAAGCGCTGGTTGAACGGTGCCCTGGTGGCCACGGCGGCACAGCGCTGCGGGGAAGCGCGCTGGTGGGAGCAGCTCGTGGAGGTCATCGAGGCGAGCGCTCGTGAAGGGGCAACGGCAATTCAGCAGATAGCTCTGCAACATTCAGGGAGGGGTGAGGGGTAATGAATGTTGTTTTCAAAACGTGAGGACAAATCATCTCTAGAGCTGAAAAACAACTCTAATTGTCAGGTTCGTTTTGTTTCAGCGCAGGGTTGGAGATTGTACAGCTACAGGCTTGACACGAGCTCTTGATGTGTTTTGGCTTGAGTAACTAGAAGCGCACATGTTTGCAAACCGGATTCTGTTGGCTGCTGACACTTGTGCGAAAGGTCTGAAAACGTAAGCATCATCCACTGGGCGCAGGGAATGGGATATGCCGCATGCCACATGTGTGTCCAAATTCTGCATTTTTTTAGGATCGCAAGACCCCTCACACGGGGCCATTGTGATTCCATCTGGCCTCAGAGTGAGTGCCGTCGGTTTTTGCATATAGAGTCATAGTCTCTTCAGCGTGGCATTGGACGCTGCCAGTGGAAGCTTAACTTCCTCCACTTGGTCCCCCGTGGATATGGGTCACTTAGGCCGGCCTGTATAGGTCACTTAGGGACTCCAAAAAAAAGGTCACTCGGAAGAAGCTGGCACATGATCACACCCTAGGGATCCACATACCTTCTCAGGAGCTACTCGGGCCACTTGGGCCCTTGAAGGCTACATAAATAGTCTCCAATCACCAAACCTGAGAAGGTACGACTGGATCCCTAGGGACAGCTTGTCATGCCCCTTCTCGCGCCTAGACCGCGGCCGCACGTCGGGCATCCGTGCGGACGGTCGCAGTGGGTCAAGGAGGATGGTATTTGGACAGACATGAAGATCTTTGATGTGAAATGTAAATCAGATGAGTTACAGTATGATGATTTCATGCATATATACAATTATCACATGGGTAATTTATGTGAACTACTTCTTCCTTGTCAGACTTGTCATTTTGGCATCGACTTGGGCATGCTTGGGCCCACATTTCAGATGATGCTTCGTTGCCTGATCTTCCTGAGCCTGTTGAGCGTGGGTGTGGCGCAAGGCTCTCCTCGCCGCCGTTCGGGTGGTGGCGGCTACCACCCCCACTCCTATCCTCACTCCTACGACTCCCGCCGGCGTTTCGACAGCCGTGGTGGCGGTGATGGTGATGGTGGTGGAATTCCCTGTGAAGGGAGTTGTCGCACCTGGGTCGCCGGTGGGGCCATGGTCATCATGCTGGGCACCATCGTGGGCGTCCTGGCCTGGGCCACCTCCAACGCCCGGCGCGAGGCGCGCGAGCCCGAGATCGATCGCATGAATTCGGGCATTGCCATGACCGACTCCTTCGTGCAGAATCCAGCCACTGGGGCTGGGGTGGAGCTGCCCACGGGACTTTGGAAAGGACATTACAGTGGATCGGATGGGCTGAAACACAAGGTGGAGTTCAACCTGAAGTTTGAAGATGGAGTCGTTCAGGGTGATGGCTTGGATGATGTGGGGGTCTACAGCATCCAAGGCAGATATCAAGGAGATGATGTGGAGACCTTTTTCAGTTCACCGTTTGAACTGTGACTTTATTAACAGATTAGCACTTCTAGTGGCTTCAGAGTGGATGGCGCTGGCACCCAAAGATGTCTCTTATATGGGGGTCCTTCTAAACCACCTAGCCTTGGGGTGACTTGTGCCATCGAACCTCTGAAAACTACGTTTAAAAAAACCAGTTCACCGCATCGATGGATTCGAGTCCGCGACTGTCCGAAGAAGCTGGAGCCTCCCGCCGTGGTCGGGTCAGGAGACCGCATCTCTTTCGTGAAGAAGTACGTGAAGGGAAGTCGCAATGATCGCGGTCAAAGGAACCCAGACAATGAAGGTCATTCAGTGAAGTACGAGGGACACCTTGACTGACTTAGAGTCGATTTTCATCGATTTGGGGGGACAGGTGGCGTTTGGCTTTCCAAAGATTTCGCCCCACATGTTCTCCGGCCATTTGACTCTCGAAACCCCAAGTTTGACCTCTCCTGTCTTGATAGGACAAGATCTTGTTGGGGCTCTCAAACAGGGGTCACCCAGGTTCTAGATTCTAGGTTTATAAAGGAGACCTTATGCCTATCCATGCATGTTCTTTTGTCCTCGTTTTTGGCGCCCAGGGCAGCAGCTGGGCCACGTGTCTGGCATCCGTGGTTCCTGGAGCTTGCGTAACCAGGGGACGAACCTCGATGGCCAATTCCACCTCTGGCCCGCCGCAGCGCCCTCGGCCCCCCCGAGCTGACGCGGGAAGCGAGAAGAAAAAGGAGCGTTTTAAAGGTGGGCGATGATGGCACCATGGATGTTCCCCTCAAAACATGTCATGAAAATTAGGTGAAATTAGGTGGTGCACCAAGCCGAGGATGCCGTGGGATGCTGGATGTCACCATGCTCCCAATTCTTGCCGGTGGCCTGCCCTTGCGCCTTCTTCTGCCAGGCCTCTCGCGGCCTCTCCCTGAGCCCAGCGCAGCAACGGACGGTCTTGCTGGCACTGGCCAGCGCTGGCCATGGCAGGGGGTCCGAGGTGCTGCGGCTGGCTGTGGAGGTCTGGACGCCGCCAGTGGACACGCTGGAGGCGGTGGGTGGGGGGCTGGGGTGGCTGAGCTGAGGGTCGCAGAGATGGGACAGAGCCGTGAACGAAAGCCACCGTTTCAGCAACATGACAGGACTAAGCCAGGCAATCCTCGGCCCCAAATATCAAAGCCCATTCTTTTGTACAGCTTGATGCTCCTGCATCCGGCAGGATGGGAAATCGATGGTGAGCAGCTTGGAATAGCTTGGATGTGCTGCGCTTGGGTCCACCGGGCCCACACTTCACCCGACTGGGCATTGTTCATTGTATTATTGGAACCCTTCAAGGTATCGGAGCCATTTTGACGTAAACCCTTTGAGCTTTCTCCCTTTCAGAAGGATTAGGTAGCGCTCTCAACAGCCCACCAACACGTTGGTTGTCCTGAATCTTTTTGCAAAGAGATCAAGGAACTACTTTATTTCCTGATGCAGTACGAAGATGTGCTTCCACTGTATTTCCTTTTGGTTGTTCCCAGACGTTCGGCTTCGTTTCTGGGTGCATTTCCTCCAGCCAGCGGGGTACTGCACCGTCGCAACTGCACGATTGCGACGAGAAACCCTCCTCCGGACACCGCCCGTTGATCCAAGCTCGGGTACAGAAGGAGGCTTTATACACAACAGATTCAACAGATGTCGGAATCATGTAGCTCAACAGTTGAAGGCTCTCCCGAGACCTGGAGGTGCCTGGATCCATCGACATTCCCTGGAAGAATCATGGTTCGTAGATGCGCGAATGCCGCCGCCTGTTTGGTAACCGGTAGGTGCCTGAAACATAGTCTTTCAGTCATCGCGGGAATATCTCATGCCTCTAATCTTTGATGGTGGGGATCATTACGAGTCATTATGTGGCTTGTGCATTGGCATCCGGGACATGCTCAAAACACGTGCGTGCCAAAACGCAGCTGGACCAGTTCGTTTTGGTGCTTTCAAGGTTTCCAAGGTTCCCGGTGCTGAGGCGTGAGCCTCACCACCTGTAAAATCACACAGGCATATATAGACCCCCAAATAGATAGCAAAGTAGATCCCCACTAAACATGGACACCGTTTCTATCTTCTTTGGGGACCATAATGAAGTCAAAGATGTGGATTTCTGTGGGGGGAGATCACCCTTCAGAGCCTTCAGAGCTTGGGGTACACTTGTTGGAGGCCACCCATCCTGAGGTGCTGCCTTCAAGCTTTGCCGGGCTTTGGGCACCGAGCAGGCAGCTCTCCTCTGGGCGGATCAGCTGCGACGCGACCGGATCAGCTGGAGCGTCGGTACCCAGGGTATCCTAGAGGAACTTCGGCAGCTTCGAGTTGTAAGTGAGTGGATAAACAGGTGGACCAGCCTGGAAGATGGGGAGGAGAGAGAGAGAGAGATCAATATCATGTTGAAGATTGGAGTGCAAGTGCTTTGTTTTAGCAGAGCTTATGATGATTGGTTAGCTTAGATGATGGCGACCACCCTGATGATTCAACTCACCTTCAAAGGTTCGTATTTAGCCACCAACCCCATTACTCCTGGTGCCACCTGCCAACCTCACCATCCGTTTTCTCTCCTTCCACCTCTCGCCGCGACGACCACGCCGCGTTTAACCTGCCTCGCTTGGCGCGGCGCGTTGGCGCTTGCACCGGTGGTGACTGAGGTGGGACTGGGCCAGACGAGTTCTACCACCAGAGGCTTGGAGCTCGGGGACGTTGCCAGAACAACGCCTGGGACTGCTGGAGCTGCAGCAACGCTATGAGGAGGTGGACGCCATGGTGAGGCGGGACCCGGTGATACCGCCCGCGCTGGGATCTCTGGAGACCAGAGAGGAGGTGGGATGAGGTTTTGGAGGGTTTCGATTCAAGTGCCTTGAGGTATGGAACATGAGAGTATCTAAGAGCCTGATATGGTTGGCTACTACTGGGTAGCAAAGTCCTGGAAGGGTGAGGGGGGCCTTTGTAGCATTTCCTGTTCCCAACGGGTTGCAATGTGTGACTCGGATGGAGTAAGGGAGTGCAAGCATTTCGTGAATGGTAGACCTATGTGCAATTATCAGTCCAGTGCTTTTGGATTATATAGCTATAGGATGCTGTAGGCCAATCATTGTTTTTCAGCAGCATTTAAGAGATCTTTGCAACCAAAGCAGTGCTTCAGTGACGCCGGGGGCTGAAACCACGTCCTATCCTTGGCAACCTCCAAACCGGGCCCCTCCGCAGTCCTTCCCAAACCCCTTTGCCTCGTCTCGCCGCCCAGGACCCTGACGCCCACTGCCTGGCTCCTCCGGAATCTCCTCTCGGCCGACGCCACGCTGCGCGACTGGCAGCGGGCCGATGAGCTTTGGGCGCAGATGGCCAGGGCTGCACCTGCAGATGGCCTGGCATACGTGACTTGCAGGATGGGCCGGAGGGGTGTGGCTAACACCTGGGGCTGGCGGTATTTTTTCCAGGCACCAGGTAAGCAGATGATGCGGGATCATGGAGCAACAGAACTGTGAGTGGAGAGGTGCTGAAATATTGGCTGATGGCCTTGAGAATCCTTTCCTTCAATCCTTTTCTCGATTCACTCCTAGACTCCTAGACCCTGACTCAGTTTGTGGGCCTGGTGCCCTTGGTACCTTGGGCGACCGAAGAGACCTGGACGTCCTATATCTCAGGAAGCTGGCTACACCGGGTACAGGTGATTTGGGCTGTAGAATTTATAGTATGCTTATTGCTTATGACGACACCAGCACCGTGGTTTCGACAAGGATGTTAGCTTGTCTTTGATTTGCGGTATATATTTGGTGTTGAATCGAATGGTTTCAATTGATAGCTTGATTGGGGCTTCCTTGCCTCCCAACCCCCTCCTGCCGTCCTGCTCAGGCAGCCTATGCCAAGGTGCACCTGCTTTGTGGCCGGCCGGGTGCTGGATTGGAGATCTTGGATCAGATCATGCACGGTGTTCACGAAGAGGACCGGACCCGCCGCAAAACAGGGAGGGACCTGTGGGGTCCGATTGGAGGAAGATCATGGGGCACCGGAAGAGCATGAACACTGAGCAAGGTCAGAACTAGCAGAACCAGAGAGTATATATATAATTAGATACAATTAGTGACTAGTGAGGAGGTTTCAATGATTCAAGATCACGAACAACCAAATTGTGCCTCGGTGTCCGGCAATTGCAATGAACCACTTTGGCCCACGAAGAAATGGTGGTTTAATATGTGGATTATAGTGGCCTGGGTGACAGCAGTAGAATGGCACGACGATGAACATACTGTATATGAACATGAAGGGTCCTGTATGGATGTGGGACCAGATACCCTCAGGTGTCTTTTTGTGGAAGACCTTTTCTCTACATATTATGAATCTCTCGGGAATGCACGTTCAACCTAGGTCAATTGAGGCTTCTGACAGATCTGATTTTCCTGATCTTTTATGGTGAAGACGAAAGGAGGACGCATCATGACATGGAGGACACCTACCTGGATGCCCAATACGCGATAGACTACCTGCAGATGTTGCTGGTCGTGTGTCACTCCCACACTGATGCTGTGAATCTCCAACGCCTACGAGGCCATATGGCACAAGGCGACGACGGTCATCGAGCCGGGTTCTTCCAGCCCTGAAAGAGGAAGCCTTCGCAATCCTGAGGATATGGATGTTGATGAACCGCTTCTGCCCCCAAATGTATTTTAATCAACAAACTGAACAACCTGATTTTGCTCTTGGGGTGAACCCATGTGAACCCCCTAACCCCCAACCCCAACCCTCGGGGGTCGTTCTTCTTGATCGCCTGGGTGTCCGGAGCTCGGCACACGAGCTCGAGCTCTGCCAGGCTCCTTCTTGGTGTCGCTGTCGAACTCCCGGGGCCTGCAGAGGCATTGGGACCGTTTAGAAGCTGCTTGGAGGAAACGGCGGGAGAAGAGACGGGGGGGCGCAGTTGGTATATAGGCCCTTTGGCACGTGAAAAAGGGTGTAGTATAGGCGCGGTGTGCGTTGGGTGCTCAAGACTCTTGGCAGAGTCCCGACCTCTCAAACCGTGATTTGGTAAGGCAAGGTTTAGATTGGGCATTCTCGGCCTGTGGAGAGGTTTTCTGGAAGATGCTTGAAAAGTGAACTTTTCAGGATGTTCAAAAAAGTATCAAAAGTGAAAAAGTGATTTTCTTGGTGATCGCTGAAACCTGAAAAACTCGTTTTTGGGTACTTTGGGATGATCCGAAAAGAGAAAAATCTAGAACTTGTCATTTTTGAGACATCAAAAAATACAAAAATACGAAAAAACACAGAAATCATATTCACCGGACACCTAGAAAATCATTTTCCGGGTATCACACAACCCAAAAAAGTTTTTTTTTGGCTCCAAACAACGTAGAAAATAAGGAACGCTGTTTTTTCACTATGAAAAAATGCATTTTTTGTTTTTTGGTGAACGCTAGAAAATCAACTTTTCAGAAAACAGAAAAACTACAAAAACTAATTTTTCAGAAACGACAAAACTAATAAAAACAACTTTTTGGAAAAACAAAAACCAAAAACATGTTTTTTCTAGTAAACACGAAACATAGAAACTGAACTTTTCAGAAAATGCAAAACCCAGAAAATAGACTTTTCAGAAACATCAAAAAACAGAAACACACTTTTATAAAAAAACACAACGCCCAAAAACTGATTTTTTTAGGAAATGCAAATCCCGAAAAATCAATATTTTAGAAAACACAAAATCAAAAAAAACACATTTTTTTAGTAATCGCAAAAATAGTATTTAAAAAAAACACATGAGAAAACGAGCTTGTCAGAAAGCATAGAGCCAGAAGCTTTGTGGGAGGTGTGGATGTCAGGCTGCCTCAGTCACTAGCACGGCTCAAGTCTGGCGATGGGGCGCCGGACACTCACCATGGACAATGGATGAAAGTCTAGAGGAGGGGGATCCTCTAGATGCTGTGCCTGTGACAAAGAGACAACGCGCGGTTGGGACGGGGCCGCATGTAGCCCGCGCTTGCAAAAGGGCAGTGGCTAGAGAACGCAAGGCCACCTTCAGACAAAACAAGGCCAGGTTCTAAGTTCAGATGTTACCAAGTGCTTTTGCTCTAGACTCTAGACTCACACTCGTAGTGTGCTATCCAGATTTGGTTGAGGCTATGGCAGCTACACCCTTGACATCAGCAGATCTTGACGTAGGATCCTCATTTTCTGTATCTGCATGTGGTTTTGTGTTGGCAAGTGGCCATGACTTAGGCACACCTGCAGGCGAGGGCAGCCTTTTTGCCGGGCACAGTGGCTGCGTCCCATGTACAGTCAATAGCTGCCCACCTCATACGTGCTGTTTCACACCTGAGTACAACAGTGGGGCTGACGGACGACAATGCAGGGCAGCTGACAGCTTTGCTGGGAGTAGGGGCCTTATTTGATGGAGGCGGTTTCTTTATTTTTGGGCACGACACAAGTAGAAGAAAGGTAGCGACACAGTTGGAAGCGGGCGCTTCCCAGGAATCCTTCGACAGACGCTTTCTGAGACTGTGCAAGCTGAACGTTGCAGAAATCGTTCTGGCCCATCAGAAGCAGGCCATGGCAATGCTAGTCACCAGCTTGGTTGTCTTGGTTTCGATTGATGTTTTCTTTTGTGGGAGGGGCTAGGGAGGAGGATCTTTAGTGTAGCAGTTCGGAATGTGTCGAGTTTCTTGTTTACTCTTGTCACACTAAGTTTGACGAAAGCTTGGCGCCGGGATCACACCACAATTCGGAGGGTGCACCTCTGCCCGAAAATTACGCAGTCATCACTACCTGGCTTTGGGATGAGACGGACACTGGGTTTGCAACAGTCTGCAGTGGTTTGGTTTTGCTGGCATGCTACTGCAAGTGATGGCCTGCCTAGTAGCGATGGCCTCCCTAGGTGCGATGGCCTCCCTAGTAGCGATGGCCTGCAACCTAAGGGCGATGGCCTCCCTACCAGCGGTGGCCTCCCTAGTAG